GGGGGGGGGGTGCTTTAGTTGATGGACATTCGTTGGACCACAATGCGCTGTGATGCAGTCGCAGGCTTGTCGGTCCTCTTCAGAAACGTTCGGTGGTGAGTGTAGAGGTACTTGAAGAATGTCGTAGTCGGATTATGTGCAGTGGCCCTTTCCGATGGAGTGGGGGAGAGTTTTTAGGGCTCTGAATCATCCCATTCAAGTACTACCAGGAGAGTCTCAAATTTCTACTAGACCCTGGAAATATATAAGCCGATCATCTAGTGGTGATGGGTGAGCGCAGGAGGGTGAGCCGGGTTCGACTTTCGGCCTTCGTAAAAGTGTATAGCGAGAGAATATCGCTCTCTATTATTAGACACCTGCTTGGCTGCTCCCAAGTATAATGTTTCTTCTCGCAAAATTTCTCTGGAGGTACAACAGGTTTCTGGACTGCCTAATGGCTAGGTTAGATTAATTGTGGTAGTTAGGAAAAATACACAACTAGGTTAAAGTTGGTCCTCGGCATGACCCTCATGAGGGTCCAAGATTTAGATCCTCAACCCTACCCTTGTTAAACTAGAACAATTAGTAAAAGAATAGATACAACCAAAAAAACTAAAGTATATTTTATAATACCATACAAAAATAGTAATTTTTCTATTACTTAACTATAATAATTTTATATATATCTAAGTTCAATCTTATTAATTAGTTAACTGCTGTCAGTAACCCAAGAAGAGCCCCAATCGGAAGCTGTCTACAGGTATAGTATCTCTCTCTCACGAAACTCCGTGGACTTTTCTCGCAGATGATTGCAGATGGACTCAAATATGTCGCTACGGCTTCGTTGCTCATGGTCACAGGTTTATCAAGTAGATAATTTGTGCAGTACCTTTTAGGTCTCCACATCATACTGATAATCAGCCCAAATTCTGTTCAAGAATTGCTCTTTCCATGTTCTAGCTCGATTTTTTTTTAATCCTCATAGATCGTTTCTTGCCACAGCCCAAATGACATTTCTATGAGAGTTTATGTAACATATTGAAATGAGTCGAACATACTCATTTCGTACCACTGTCCCTATCATGAAGAATACATGACTTCTTACTGAGTCAGAATAAGTGATATTCGAGGCTTACCATAACCCCACAATCTCGGAGAGATCTCCGAGATCATCAGTCGAAATTCTTAACCCCGCATGTACCAGGATTCAGCCTGAATACCTCTTTAGATCATCATGCATTTTTAGTAAAGTCTAGAATCAAGATATATCATATGCTGATGCAACTTTCTCCACCAATCTCCAAGCAACTTCGAGCCTGATTTCAAATAGTGCATGTTTACCATCTGAAGAAAGGCAAATAGAAGCTAAACAACACCAGTGTAATTTATCCCTCATTCTTCATTTAGCCGCATACACCATGAGGGCTAGAGAAGCTTTTATACCAGTGTTTCCAGTGAATTTCCCCATGTGAAAGACAAACCACAATCCTCTGCCTAATGCCTTGATATCTTGCGGTGGTTTGCTATCAAATCTTCTAAGAGCTGGGCGATCTCCTTCGTCAGTAAAAACTAATGCGCCATCAATTCACACGTTAGATATTCTTAATCTTGTCATAGAAACAGAGATGCGGTTACAATTGCGCCCACTACGTTCCTACCCACTATTCTTGCTCTTCAACCTAGTAGTGATTTGTGGATTTGTCGATGCATCCCCAAAGAGGGCATTAAATGCAGTTAATGCTAACCATGATGAGAGATTGGGGCCGGCACAAAATATGGTAAGGAGACTGAAGTAATAAATCACACTAGGGGATTTAGGTACAGCATCTAATAGCTACTGACAGGTCACCTGGGATCAACACTCTCTCCTCATTAACGATGAACGTATCATGGTCTTCTCGGGCGAATTCCACCCTTTCCGCCTTCCTGTTCCTGGTTTATGGCTAGATGTCTTCCAAAAAATCAAGAGCATGGGTTTCAATGGTGTCTCCTTCTACACCGACTGGGGTCTTTTGGAAGGCAACCCTGGGAATGTTATGATCGGCGACAACGGTATTGACAATAACACTGATATCTGGAACCTTGATGAGTTCTTTACTGCTGCATCTGAGGCGGGGATCTATCTCATTGCGCGGCCCGGTCCATATATCAATGCCGAAACCTCTGCTGGAGGTATTCCTGGATGGGTCCTACGCATTAAAGGGGCCATTCGATCAATGAGTTCAGATTATGTGGGTGCCATCAAGAAATACATGTCGACAGTTGGAAAAATCATTGCCGATGCACAGATTACGAGAGGAGGGCCGGTTATCATGGTCCAACCGGAGAATGAGTATACCACCTGGCCAGGGCTGACAGAGGAAGAATTTCCATCGCAGATGAACCGTGAAGTGATGGCGTTGATGGCGGAAGAGCTGCGTGCTGCCAGGGTGGAAGTGCCCATGGCAATGAATGACAACGAAGTGGAAGGATACTTTGCACCAGGAACCGGACTTGGCGAGGTGGATATCTATGGGATTGATGCTTACCCCATGCGGTATGACTGTATGTGCATGCTCCTGTTAGGACGACTTACTGGAACAAGCGAGGAGCTAATTACATTAAGGTGCGCATCCGGATGTTTGGCCAACGTACAGGTTTCCTTACGATTGGAATACCCTGCATGAAGAGCAGAGTCCTATGACACCGTTTACAATTATGGAGTTTCAAGGAGGGTCGGGTGGGGGCTGGTAAGTCCTACGGCGTACATACTCTTGTGTGCCCCTGGAACAAATTACTCTCAGAAAGATAACGAATCTAACTGTAATCAGGGGAGGAGTCACAGAGGAAGGATGTGCAATGCTGGTCAATCACGAAGCCTCTCGAGTCGTATACAAGAATAATTACAGCTTTGGAGTTAAGATCTTCAACATCTATATGGTGAGACATGCGCAAGCCTGGTCCTCTAGCGACGTCACACTGATTTTCACCAGACCTACGGTGGTACCAACTGGGGAAATCTGGGATACCACGGAGGGTATACCTCGTATGACTACGGTGCCTCCATCGCTGAGGACCGAACTCTCATACGCGAAAAGTACAGCGAACAGAAACTCCAAGCCAACTTCTTCAAAGTATCACCAGCCTATCTAACGGCAACCCCAGGGACTGGACGGAATGGGTCGTACACCGAGAACCCGCGAATCGCCGTCACTCCACTAGTTGGAAATGGCACTGAAACAAACTTCTACGTCGTTAGACATGCGGATTTTACGTTCACGGGGAACGCAAGATACACACTGACTGTGTCGACCAGTATTGGCAATGTCACTATCCCACAGCTCCATAATACAGAATTGTCATTGAACGGACGTGATTCCAAGTTACACGTGACAGATTATGATGTTGGAGGCATCAACATGATCTACTCCTCGGCGGAAGTATTGACTTGGGCGCATAGCCTTGGCTCAACCCGTGTTCTCGTACTATATGGTGGAGAGGATGAAGTGCATGAGGTTGCCTTCTCGCAAACCTTACCCAAACCAGTCATTCTCGACGGTCAAACTTCTGGGATTACAATCGAACAACAAAAGGGCGCATGGATCATTCAATGGAGAGTAACCGCTACTCCCAGGATGATCCAAATTGGAGATGTCGAGCTTCACCTTCTGTGGCGTAACGATGCGTACGATTACTGGGTAATGGAAGTACCTGCTGTGGAACCTATAGGCAACTACAGTTCACCATCAAAAGATCTCATCATTGTGAAAGCAGGGTACCTCGTCCGGAGTGCATCAATTCAGGACAATCACTTAATTTTGAGTGGAGATATCAACGCAACCACCACCATTGAGGTCATATCCACACCACAAGAGGTACAAGGTGTAGTATTTAATAATCAATTGCTCAACACTACGCTTTCATCCAGCAGAAAACTTCTTGGGAGAGTTCAGTATAATCCACCCACAATTTCCCTTCCGTCTCTCTATGATCTCGAATGGAAATATCTTGATTCCCTCCCGGAGATTGATCCCTCGTACGATGACCAGGCCTGGACAGTTCTCAATCAATCCTGGAGCAACAACCCTCGGAATCTCACTACTCCAACCTCGCTTTATGCGCTTGACTATGGCTACCACACTGGGTCTCTCCTTTACCGAGGGCACTTTATGGCTAACGGGCAGGAGAGCTCCCTTTTCCTAAATATCTCCGGCGGGTCAGGCTTTGGGTATTCCATCTGGCTAAACGATAACTATCTCGATTTTTGGGGAGGAAGCAGCGATAGTTCATTTCATGCGCAGAACATCTCACTTGTTCCCACCACTAACAATGTGGCTCTCTCTTCGGGAAAGCCCTACACCATCAGTATATTGATTGACCACATGGGGTACGACGAGGAGGCCCCAGGAACAGACGCTATCAAGTTTCCCCGCGGCATCTTAGACTACTCCCTTTCTGGCCATGAGCATCAATCTGACCTCCGCTGGAAGATGACGGGAAACCTTGGCGGCGAGCAGTATCGCGATCTCATCCGTGGCCCTCTCAACGAGGGTGCCATGTTCGCCGAGCGACAAGGCTATCATCTACCTCATCCCCCGAGTGACACATGGGAAACGCGAAGTCCGTTTACGAAAGGAATAGAGAATTCAGGAGTCGGGTTTTTCACCACATCCTTTCCCCTGGATCTACCAAAAGGATACGACATTCCGCTGCGGTTTGTATTTGCATTCAATGGCTCAACGGACGGCGTACATACGCGGAATTATCGCTGCCAACTCTATGTGAACGGCTTTCAATTTGGGAAATTTGGTATGTAGCAGAATATTTTCTACCTTCTCTATGATACGTCCTACGGGATACATCTACTTATATTGTACTTGCTGATTTCAATTAGTCAACAATCTTGGCCCTCAAACGGATTTCCCTGTGCCCGAGGGAATTCTCAACTACAATGGGATCAACTACATAGCAGTGACACTGTGGGGCCTGGACGGGGGAGCGATGCTTGGGCCGGGGGGCTTGCAACTTGTGGCGTCGCGGCCTATTTGGTCAGGGTATCGGAAACCAGTTGCGGTGGAGTGGCCAGGATATGTGGAGCGAGAGGGGGCATACTAAGTTATGATGTTCGGCATGTTGCTTTGTCCAGGGTGTCATAGCGCTGAAGCTTTTGTTGTTCAAAGCTTTCTCGGGTCATGCAATTCCTGTCAATATACACTAGAAGACCCTTCCGTCCTTTCTGGGTAACTTGGACCCTACTAAATATTCGGCCCAGCATAGACAAAGTTGTTCTCCGGAATGTGGACCCACATATGAAATCAGGAAATAAGCCAAGTTTCCATTTGAAACCAACAAAACGACTTTTTCGGTGTAGCAGTATATCAGAACTTATAAATGATCTATAATTCCCAGGGAAAGGCTAGAATCTAGCGCTTTCTTTTTGGAAAGGATGTTGCGAAAAAGGTATTTACTTTCACTGATATTAATACATCATACTAGGTAGCAACAGCTTTCTCGTCACTACAAAAGTGAATAGAAGGTTGTTTTGTTTCCAATATAGTCAATAAAGAGATTCCGGGCACGAGACTTTAAGCTGTCCCACTCACTGAACCGGCTTCGAACGCGTTGACTCTAGCAGAACCCGGCCCTTCCTGAAAACAGAGTAGACAACTTACTGTTGACTAGTCCTTGGGCCAAATTCAAAATATCCCGTCGAGCATGAAGCAATTAAAGGATAACAAGCTTTGCAAAAACTTTCGTCAAGAAATACAATATCACCAACAGATATATCCTATTCAGTAACTCAACTCTATTATGCAACCACTACACTGCAATCATATACTGAGACTCTAAGACATCCAAAAGATTCCTCTCCAATGTTGGATAAGGTCAGTAAATCTTGGCTCTGACTCTTGATAAAGTTGATTGTATTATTGAGGTCGGGTATTGCGTTCAAAGGGCTTACATTAGTCGGGCAATCGCGAAAGGATGTGTATGACACTTCCTCGAGCCTCAGGTAGTACAATTATCAAGACATAATTTCTTTAGGTAAACGAATGCAGATTCTAAGGATGTTCGCGCTTTTACATATTTTTTTAAGTTTATTCAACTACGCCCTGAATACTAAACAACTATAGTAATGTACTACTCCCGAAACAGTCGCCCAGTGCCCCAAGCCGTTTCGACAAAGGAAACAGGGACTCTCTTACAGCATATCATTAATATTGATTGGCTCAGGGGGCTAGTTTTAGCTCACTGCATAATCAAAGGCTGGTTGAACACAACTAGAGACTGGAAGTACTAAATGCCTCCTTCTATATAAATCCCCTAATTGAAGCCCAGGCGAGGTCTTCCCTAAAGCATCTTCTCTAATTCTTCATTCCACTTTCTTCCTGACGCTTCTCCAAATATATACATATATACCCTCCTTTTTCTATTAGTGTTCTCCACTTTTACAACAAATATGTATCGCGCTTGGATTATCATTACTTTAATCCTATCAGTTCTGGCTGCGACTCAGGGCCCTGGCGAGAGCTCCACAGCAGGCGAGGGTTTCAAAGGCGGCCTACGCCGTGTTGGATCAAAAATCGGGGGATCAATCAGACACCCGAAAAGGGAGCTTTACGTGTGTTCAAAAGTCGAGGCAACTATGCTACAGCAATTCGACCGCATTAGATGGCACGTTGTGGCACAGTGTCCACACCGAGATATCGGCAGAATCACCAAACCTAAACCCCAGAAGGACGGCGAAAATCAGCAGGGCAGCAAGCCCCAAGTTGGCAATAACCCCAATGAAAATATGGGCATTGCGGTTTCAAGGCTTCCCTTGGACAAATGTCTTGGTTGGGATGAGCAAAATGGACAATTTACTTGGACGGCTGAGTACGTATATGATTGGATGCTATATATTCATTTCTCATGTTATGAGGGATAGCTAATGAGCCTAGTGGGAATGGCATTGAGAAAGGTCATTGCTCAGAATGTAAAGTAGAGGAAGGCGAACCTGTACCGAAAGTGGAGACAGGGAAAGGGAAGTCCCCAGAACGAGGGATGTCATCCATACTCACCTGTAAATGTGACAAGAAGAAAGGGGAGGCAGGCAAAGCTGATGTAAAATTCTACTTGGGTGAGTATTCTCCATACCAGAGTCAAGACTGTTTTCTAACTGAAAGGCTATATAGTTGGGAAGCTGAAAGTCGAGAGCAATGGTGCGATCAGCTGCCATGGATACAAGGAGAAAATGCGTGCGAATATTGATTAACCATAGGTTATTATCTTTTGGAGGTTTTCGTGTATGTTTAATTGATATTAGCCTTGAATGCTACTGATGGATTTGAATATCGTTTTATATGGCGCTGCTGGGTTCATATGTAGGGAACATACAGGTTTGGAGTTTATATTGAAGGTTGTCAACCATATTAGATAAGAACGTGTGCTAACTATCATAGATATCTTCTCGATGAAAAAGTGTTAGAATGGTAGTCCATAGTAGCCGTCAAAAATAATTAACCATAGCATCTGCATACTCCTATCTTCCCGTTATGTTTCTACACAGTACTATGTCATTATCGCAGCCATAACTTTCTATCCTCCTTATGCATCACGAATCATATCTGCCTGATAGAATCAAACCTCAAACCCACTACTACCAGCCGAAGTAGGCAGACGCGTTCTAGGATGCACATGACATTGAAATAAAGAAGCTTCGGCAGGTGGCAAGCGGCCACTCTCATGGTGAGCAATAAGAGTCTAGCTCATATGGCGATTCACTGTTCGCTCTACCTTGGTGGGGATTCTGTGGGATATACAGCGAGTATGGCCAATTGTTAGGGAATGTTATTGAATTTCCAAAGAGATCATGAGGGAGCGGATTTGAGTCTAGGTGAGAGTCGCATATATAAACGCGCCATATCTTCCTCTGGACGACGTTCTCCATTGCTCTGGAAATATCTCTGCAACTTTTCTACTTACTTCTCCCCACTCCCAAAAAAAGCTTGAAAATTGGGTAAAGTTACAAACGATTCAGGCTGAACATCCCTTCCACTAAACAAGACCTGAGCTCTTCTACTCTGTCTTTAAACCACCCAAGCGAGAAAGCTCCTCCTCATCCAGCTATCGCCATATTTTGTCGAAGCCCATATCCTACGATCAACATGAAGCTCATTTTCGTTTTCCTCGCCGTCCTTGCCGCTACCACGGTGCAAGCTATTCCTATGCTTACCTCCACTGCTGCTCCGGCTGAAGTTGAAGATAATGTTTTCCCCCGCGGTCGCGTCCCCTCCAAGTGGTGTTTTGGAACATCCCAGGGATGTCGTTGACTCAAACAGGATACGGATATCGGGATTCAAATGTTGCTGATATGAAGGTTTTGATTTCCTATTATCTGCTTACATTGTTTGTGATGGCTGTCGTGTGTTTACATGTGTGAGACATAACTGAATTTTCTCCTGCTGTACTGTTCCATCTGAAATTGACAATAAGGAGGTAAGAACTAGTTGAGACAAAGAAAGTTGGCAATAATTGAATGTTTGGTTGTTGTTTTGTGCTTTGCCGTTGTCATAACCAGATTAATAGGTGGAGCTTACTCAGGAGCTGATAGCTGTCTTTGGAACTGAATTTAAGAGTGTACTGCACACGCTACAGAGACTTTGCTAACTAGCGGCCTCGACCTATAACTATCTCAATCTTATTGGATGACTAAATCGATACTATGACTGAGGTTCCAGTAGGTATACTTTATAAGTTTGTTATAATTATGAGCTCAGGTAAATCTATTCATCAATCGTTAAACGCAAGGCATCACAAGAACTAGTCTAGTGCGCATAATTATGTTCCTCTTCAGCTATCGTTCACCTCTAATGATAAAGACAGAACCAATCATGACGACTACTGCCCGAATTCTATCAACGCCCCAGGAATCAACTTGGCTCTCGAGGTTACAAATGCCAATTCTACCCCTTCAAGGCAGTCAGACAGAAAACCCATCCTGTGAGCATAAAAAGCTTCCATTCCTCTGTGCCTCTAAATTATATGCAAATAAGACTGGGAAGGGAGACGAAATCTAACACATTACTAGAAAGGATAGACAAATATAGGCATAAAACATAAAAAATTTGTTAATGTGATAGTGTGATAATAGCGATATTAGAACTTCTTGAACAGTCTGGCTAACCTAAGTGGTAGCCAGGTGCTAATATTACATGGTGGAACTCTATGAAGACTGATCTTAGCTTATCTATGCAACAAGCCATGCGTGCGTATTGAGAATGCAGGTACGCATTATGCATTTATCAATCACATGTAAGATTTCTAACGGGGGCGCAGTTAGAGAGAGCAAGATGCAGGATTTACCCTATGCGGTATATCGCTACTGTCTTAAGCGAATAAAGAGTAGGTTGAGGGCTGTGCACATCTTGGTATTTCCCCACACGTGGAGTGATCTGCACCGTGAACAAGTGGCTTTGCCTCGTATATGAGTCTTGGCTGATGCCATCCGTAAGGGACTGAACGCCTAACCAACATCAAAATAAATATCGATTCTATTTAAGCAGGCGTAGATGGCCAGTAAATAATCTGCAATACCACATTACTTACGATGACCCATGACCCTACCTGCCTGAGAAATTAGACCGCTGAATACCAACCATAGCTTTCTCTGCCACACACACACACACACACACAAGATGCACACACCGCGCATTTCGATTTGCCTGCGATTCACCGCGGTCATCAGCTCCCTCGCTGCGCTGATAGCTTTCGGATATTCCCAATCAATGTTTGAAGGCGACATGGTGATCGTGGAAGACTTGGGCAGTGCGGTGGTCAGCCCAGTCACCGGAGCGGTCAGTGTCTGATTAAATGTCTAGTTCACGTAGACAGGTTGCTGATGTTATACTACAGGCTGAGTACACCTTCGTTTGGTCGCTGATAATAGCATCTATTGAATTATCCCTTCCCGTCCCGATCCACCCAGCCATCTATCTTACGTTTGACCTTTGCGCTTGGGCCGCGCTGGTAGCCACCTTGATAGTATACCTGGCGGTTCAGGAACCATATTATACCAGAGGATATAGCTGCGGTGTCAACGGGGGACGTGATTGTGATGGACAGCTCGTGGCTAACGTCGAGCATTTTGGTACGGCCATGGCTTTTATTGCTGTGTAGGTTAACTCCCGTTTGTTCCAGATTCTCTCGCTAACTGATGGACTAGTGTTATCCATTTTGGGTTTTTCGTTTGGGCATGTCGTGCAACCCATAAGACGCGGAAAGGCAACGCGAAGGATCAGGATATAGCTCCCAACCATACCGTGTGAGCTTATATGAGGTGCCCCACGGACATTTCACCAGATTATGACGGTATGAATTGGTATGATATTGATGGCCCAGCCGAGCTTGCGAGGAGCTGGGGTGCTTTGAAGTAATGTGGCAGCCTCGTGATGATGTTTCCTATTTATATACGATGTTTACAATTTATAATGTTTAATAGCTAATTTATGTAATCAAACCACATACATTGTTTTCTTTGGCATTGGACTATACATCTTGGAAACTTTGATGAAACTTTCCTTCAAGCATCGCTTCCCTGGTATGGAGTAGTCAGACTAGTCAGCTTAACCACTAGAGAAGCCTTCGGGTCTGTTCTTGACGTCTGCGCAAGGCAACACCGTTTTGGACGATGTAACCGAGTGGACCCGGAGGTACATGCTTACTTTCCAGATATTAAAGGTTATCTCGAGCCTATCAACGTTGCCATCTAACGCTAGCTTCATCAGCGTCGCAATCTAGCAAGCCGAAGGCATCAATTTTCTGTAACCCTTGAATAAGTTTATAAATTATCCATCCATTTGATATTAAAGCTGCCTAAACAGGCATAGCGCTGTCTCATTCATAAGCGACTGCTTCTTCCACAATTTAATCATGTGGATAGATTCATTTCAATCAGATTCCAACAAGTCTGTCTCAAGATAAATCTAAACCCCTCCGCATTACCCGTAAACCCAACCCAAAACCATCATCTCTCGTACCAAATTGAAAAAAAAAAAAGCCTATAAAGCATCATGTCTCCAAACAAGAGTATATCACTCCATCCCGCCCTCCCCACCGATGCTGCCGCCCTCGACGAAATCCACAGCAAAGCCTTCCCCAATGACATTCTCCTTGAAGTCATGTACGGCCCTCGAGAAGAAAACTCCATAGACTTGGCTCAGGATTTAGAGAAAACCATCCGTGAGAACCCCAACGCTCGATTTCTGAAAGCTGTTGATGACGAGTCGGGTCGGATTGTGGGGTGGTCGTGGTGGGTTATCTACCGCGATGCAGAGGCTCATATAAAAGCGGAGCAGGAGGCAGTGAAGAAGCGCGCCACGCCACCGCCGAGGTCGATTTGTCCGCAGGCGTGTTTGGATTATCGCCAGATGGTGGTACAGAAGAGGGAAAAGTGGATTGGGGGGAAGGCGGTTGCTAGTGAGTATTTTCTTTCTTTTTCTATCTTCATTTGGACTTTTTTGTTGCTGTTGTCTTGTGAAAGTGAGTGGATACGCCTGACAGATATAAACTAGTCCTACAGGTCTTGGTGGTCCATCCAGAGTATCAGGGTCGTGGGATCGGGACCAAGTTACTAATGCCCGGGGTGGAAGAGGCACAACGTCTCCGGCTACCGGCATGGTTGGAGGCTTCGCGGGCTGGGTATACACTCTACAAAAAGTGTGGGTTCCGTGATGTCGGCGAGAATCTAGATTTTGACTTGGCCAAGTATGGCGCCACGGGGCAGAAGCACGGATTTTGTATGCTGATGGATGCTGTTGATGTCAACTAGATCTGGTTTGACCGCTATTTGTTTGGCTTCGATATCAACATATCTTGAAGGATTAGGTAACCTTGCCATTTGAAAGATTATATTCTATTGGATGGCGTACTTAGATTTTCATGTGTATGTTATGAGACAACGTATGGTAGTCTTCATGAGAAGACAGGTTTGAAAGTACTATCATGATTTCTATCAGGAAGTAGGGCATTGGTGGGAAGGCTGTAGCCTGCGAGCCCTACGCTACAGATTGACACACGGAGATCACATTGGAACAATGAACCTCGTATTCAACAAACTAAGCGGTCAACCCCACTATTGTCTTTGTTGTGTCAAATTTTCCCTCGGTATATACACGTCACGCTGACCAACAATGAATGCAGTGCTTCCTGGAGATATTGTTATCCGGCTTGAGAAGCAGTGGTGGGAGTGGTTGAGCTGGCTATCTTACTTCAAGAATTACGACATAAAGGAATTGAAAATATAAAGAATGAGATTGTGAACAGGAACTCATTCAAATATCATATAATCCTATAGACAGACACTGAATAACTCCTTTAAAAGGCCTATAGTAACTTTAAGACACTTTCATAGCCAGTGAGCAGCTTGAGTCTTTATAGTCGATCGGCAATTCCGTGTCGGTGTACCCAGCTTCGGGCTCGTTTTCCGAAGATATACCTAGCGTAAATACATATTAGTACATATTATCAACTTATTATTGGCTCAGGGCGACACTCACATCGGGATAGTGCATAGTGCTGCAGCCATTGTGATTCCTCCAATAGTGAAGAAGCAGTTCCGAACACCTTGGCTATCAATCCATCCATTGAGGTAAAACGACAGCCCAAAGGCGAAGAGATTCTTGAGAAAGTTCATCGTCGCAAAGGCCTCACCGGCCTTCTCACGGTGACAGTCTACGATGTAGGTGACAACACCAGTGGTGCCGAGCTGGACACCAAAATTAATCATTCCCAAACACACAATCACCGGTACAGGCCACGGGTCCTGTGCATAGGAAGACTGGCCCCAGGCAAAGAATCCTGTTGAGGTGAACAAAAGGTACGTAAGCATGATCGGCAGGCGGAACTCGGGTTCTGCATGGATCCTGGTAAGTGATCAGTTTGAAGATAGTGGCAGAGGAAGATCATACCGAATATTCCACCGTTCATCTTGGACATCCGGGTCACCAGGCCGTCAATCAGGGGTCCGGCACTAAAAGTCCCAAGGACGGATGCGACAAAGGACGACAAGTTCGTGGCTCCAACACCCATCACGGAGAAATTATATGGTGGTGCGGAGAAAATCTGGGATAGGGTGAGGGAAATGCCCACAAGCCATGCTATACAGTTGGTAAAAAGAAGCACAGCCCAAAGAACGGGTGGCGAAGCCAAAAGATAGAATGGCCGGATGATAGTATTCCAGAATGAGACATGGTTGACATAACCGCTGTATGGTAGCAGCTCTTTGGCCCAGGAGTGACGCACTTCGGCTGTTTGAACCCCAGTGCTTGCAGCGTTTTCGAGCTGCTCCAGGTCTGTTTTTCCCTCAGCGGCAACCTGCCAAAAATTAGCATGAGGATATAAAATAAAAGGCTGTGAAACCATAACGCACATTTGTTTCTCCAGTATCGATATTCAGTGCTTCCCTCGCATACGCGGATTCCGGCATCCAGAAGAAGACCATTATCAATGTCAGAGCAAAGGCGCCACCCATCGCATGTAATGCAATTCTAAACGATCCATACTCAATTATTGCAGCCGCTATTTGAGAAGATCAGCAAATGTATTGATCAAGAATGTTCAAAACAAATTTACCTATCGGGACCGCCAGGTTAATTCCACCGAGGACGCCGAGGTTAAAAATAGCGGTACGGAACCCACGTTCGTGAACGAACCTAGTCGGTTAGTTAATTTAATGCATGTAGGACAAGTAATCGAAACTGCTAGACTTACCAGATATCTGCAATGGAGGCCGGAACCAAAGCCTCCATAGGCGCCATGCAGAGCCCACAAAGGACTCTTGAGGCGACAAATGATTCAAAGCTTTTGGCTTCAGCTGCCCAAAAACATGACACCATCAAGCCAACAGTTGTTCCAAGATAAATCGGACGCTTTCCGTATTTCACGGCCAAGGAATTGAATATCAAGCTTCCAACGGCGATAGCCGAAATCAGGCCGCCCTGGACAGCGGAAACAAACGTCGACAACGAGACCCCAAATTCTGCAGCGAGTGGGACGAATGCGCCACCGAGAAGCGGACCGACCGCTATTTTGTAGAAAACGAAGCGTTAGCTTTATCCATCACCAGGACGAGGAACGCATCTCGTCGCATCTTACCCCCAACGCAGCCACAGCCCCATCCATAGGCAATTGTAAAAAGCTCTTTCTTGAACCGGGGCCAATTATAAGGGTCATTTGGTGAGTCGGACGGTTGAGGAACAAGCACGATCTGCCCGGTAGAATCGTGTTTCAGAAGACTAGGGTTAATGCCGGAGTAAGTGTCGACCTCATGAAGACCATGTAGCGGTGCCGTTCCTGGGATATGTTCCAGTTTGTTATCATCTAGAATACCAAGCGGCATCTTGAGAGCATTCAGACAGTCTTAAATACTTGTATTGTTCGCTGGGAGCTGGATACCCGCACTGAGGACAAAAGTTTGGGGAAACAGCAGTAGCAAACAAGATTATTTAATGGGGCTCATGCAAGAGGATGAAATAGTACTAGTAAAAGATACTAAACCTAGTCGCCAATGTGAATAAATTACTGATCAAATGGGGCACAGTGTCAATAATCCTTGCTAGGAGGTCAACCCCCCGGTTTATAACCTCTCCGCACCCCTCATTAACACACATGCAACGCCTTCCAATACTATTCTCCATTAGTCTCCTTGACTTTACAATTGAACAGCTCTTAGTAGCCAGCGTGAATGCTACTTGTCGGTAATATGTGGCCCGAGTCCTGACAGCCCCATCCTGGGGAATTTCCGAGCTTCAATCTGGGGTTCCCCACGGGGGTTCACCGACTCGACAAGGCGGGTGCCGTGCCTTCGCGTCCAATATACCAGTGAAGTCTATTTACAAGGTTGAGTCATGATAAGGAATAGGCAAAGCTACACTCAATGAATTATCAACTCGACAGTGACTACCCAGAGAGCATGTTGCAGGTTCTCCACATATCGTGAGATGAAGCCGTTGAATACTCCGCGATTCAAACAACGCGCGCAGTCAAACCTGGAGAGAAAGCGGCAATGTGGCGAGGATTGGAACTGTGGAGCAAAGATCGTCTGCCATTAGTTACACCCGGCACTTGACCATCAAATTCCAACTACCGAGGGGCCACTATGGGCCCAAAGAGGACAGAGTTTCCCGGCACGCCTTCAGCGATTTAAGCGACAGTCCTATCAACCCAATTAGATATATCGGAGAAAAGCGTGTTGCTTACAATTCCCTCTATCTAAAGAAGAACAGTGTGAGATCATCCCCAGAGTGACACAGAAATACTTTACGAAGCAACTATCTATAATATCTTCAACCCAAGGACGGTGGCTTTACAGAGAATTATGCCGCCCTATGTACTAGATTCCGCGTTGCACACTTGACGATACCATCAATTCCGCAATATCGGCTCGTACTGCATGCAGGATCCGGGGGGGGAACCCATTTATCCCCGTGAAGGTCGAGAGCATCGAGACCCGCCGACCCCGGGAATACCCCAGCAGCCATGTGGGGAACTGTCAAGGAGGGGTTTTTGAATGAGTAACAAAAGATTTGGCGTCGATATGAACTGTGAGAGATGCCCAGAGAAAATAGCCACCGAACCCAATATCAACCTTTGTCACGAAACTCTACTCATCACAATATGTCACCGACGAGAAGCATCATCGTTACCGGTAAGAACCTCGGAAACCCCCTCTCAGGAAACGATCCATGGACTAGCATCATTGATTCCTCGATCAGGAGGGGCCTCAGGGATTGGTCTGGGCATTACCAGGCACTTTATCTCACAACCTCAAACTCACATCACCATTCTCGATATCAACCCAAAAACCGGTGCTCAGACTCTGCAAGAGCTTCGAGCCGAGCATCCATTGGCTAGCGTCTCATTCGAAGAATGCGATGTGTCCTCTTGGGAAAGCCAAACTGCTGTATTCGAGAAAGTATACGCCGAGCAAGGTAGAATCGATATTGTCTTCGCCAATGCGGGGATTACCGAGAAGGGAAGCTTGTTACCCGCAAAGCGCGATGGCAATGAGGGACCACCCAAGCCAAACCTCGCGACCTTAAATGTGAATTTAGTGGGAGCCATATACAGTAAGTTTCCTTCCTCAATTGAGAACTGTACAGCTCCATATGGGCAGAATAGCAATGTTGATTTTCCCCATCTCAACAGCTGTCCATCTTGCCATCCACTACATGTACAAAAACGCGACAAGTGATCCGACAGCTTCTTCAAACGGACTGATTGTCTGCACTGCCTCAAATGCCGGCCTGTACCCATTCCCTATGGCGCCTATGTATGCAACAACCAAAGCTGGTGTAGTCAACCTCGTGCGATCTCTGGCTCGCCCACTGGTAGCTGAAAAGATTCGAATCAACGCATTAGCTCCTGCTGTGATCGGTAAGTTGACTTGGAATACTCTGCGCGTCCTCTACGCGCCAGTGGAAGATATGGTTGGCCTGGCTAATGGATGATAGCAACGAATATTGCGCCAAGTAATGACTTATTTAAGTCAATGATTTTAACGCCAATGTCTACTGCAACAAATGCAGTGGCGCAACTTGTAGGTGATGAGTCGTTAACGGGCAAGATTGCGGAATTACACGGTGAAAATGTCACCTTTGCGGAGCCCCCAGCCTATGTGGATGAGGATACTGAGAAGAATATTGAGAATTTTTGGAATCTGGGATATGCATAGAGGAGACAAAGTTGGCTGAAGACTCGTAGCAATATAAATATAAAAGATTTCATAATAGCACTTATATCCAACCACTGGCGTATGAATTTAAGACGAGCTCACTCCTATGATGTTCATAAGGTAGATAGTGGTTTAATCTTATAGCTAGCTGTACCAAACTAAGCAGCAATCTATATAATGTATAGATCGAGAATCATTCTCGATATCTAATAATTTCCCGTTCCCGTATCAACGTTCGAAAATCTCCAAATGCAAGAGCAATAGCCCCAGCGCTATTCCTGAGCACCAGTACTGGAGACCGCCTGCTGTTTCGTCACTACTGGGTATTCCCAGGAGCCGTTCTGCAGTTCTTCGTCCGGTCCATAGAAGCGAACTATCGACTCCATTAATATCAAAATTGCAAAGCTGAAATAATGTGGGATGCTTACGGTTTATGTCAATTTGCCCCCCACCAGATGGTCCTGGTAACCAACTATAAAGTGTTAGTCACTATCTAGGCAATTTCTGAAAACTTATCAGCCAACTCACTTGGATGTCCAATTGGAAGGTGGCTCGATGTCGGCTGGCTGGATGAGAATCTGGAAAGACTCATCCCGATCATCGTCCCCATACACAGGTTTGCCATCTGCGTAAGTAAGGTTCGATCGATCACCCAGAGAGGACCGATCCAGTGAGTTTTTAATGAGAAACTTGTCTGCGTTGTATAAAGTCAGACTCCAGAAGCCATTCTTAGCGAGCGGAGGCTTCCTGCTGAAGGTAAAGACGTATGCCTCGTTGGCTCCCAATTCGAGAACCGAACTACTCGCCGTCGGGTCATACATTGGATACAAGGCCACAGTTGCATCCACAATAAGATAAGCCCAATTAGTCACAAACGCTCGCATCTCATAGTTCGTGTTGTAGTCACCCTGTGCGGTACCAGAGACTGATCGCCAATTGTTTTCCAGATCAATATGGTTGGCAGGAAGAGCAAAGGCTTTCGAAACAGTAGAGGTTGCGGTGACGGCGGCCGCTGTGAGGTTTCGAACTTGGGGCCTGTAAACGCCATCGCGGATACCGGCTGCGTTGAGGTTGCGGTTCACTCTAGCAAGGTCAGAAATGTTACGCGGCGGGTTGTGCGGTGCGAAGCGTGCTGTCATCTGCATAACTCGGGTGGCAGGGTCCGAAGAAAGCGATGAGTTCAGCATAGGAACCGTTAACTGTGGGATATTCTGAGCACGCTTCCTCGGTATCGTAGAAATCTGCATCTGGTCTTGGATAGCATGTATCTTGTCGATGTCCGTTCCGTTGTTCTTAACGACAAGTCGTGTAAGAATGCCACCATAAGGAGTAGGTGCATTAATCCATCCTCTGAGACCTCTACAGTCCTCGTACTCCTCAGATTGCGTCTCGTCGCAAAGCTGTACCCCAACTGGTTCATTACTGTTCGGCAAATAACGCAATAGGTACTTGCCGGCAGAGCTATTATAGACGTTACCGAGGTTTCCATAGTTGTTGCCGTATCTCGCGGAAGGTTAGCTACAGAAGTGAATTGTTGCAGGATTAGAAGACTCCAACTCACACGTCATAGAAAGGGAATACCCAGAACCGCTCATCAACAACTGGCACATCCAGAATGAGATCGTGATGTGACAGGTCAATGATAGCCGCGGAGTACAGCGTGTCGACATTGGGTCGCACCACAGCTGTAGTTTCAGACGTCGTCAGCTCTCGCAAATGATAGAAGTCATTGGTTGAATTCAGCTTTCCCAACGTTCGGAGGGCGAATGTGGCATATGAAACCAGGGGATAGCCATACTAGGTAGTATGTCCGTTGTCGGCTTCAACCTATACTTCAGAGAAAGACAGCAAAACATACAAGTAAGGAGAATACAGTTGCCTCGTCTGGGCTCGGATTGGTATGCTCAAGGCATGCCACCATAGAGATGGTGGACACCAGAAGTATATGGATTTCCGAAAGCTTCCCTATCATGGTGTCTAGTTTTGTGTGTGGGAGTGTCTGATTCTGGGGACCTTCGACGGTCGCCGTGTGCTATATATACCATAGACCATGTATTGTTTTACTTTGCCCTCGAATATTTAAAGGTCCATCTAACTGAATGATTACACTGGCCAATAGCCTGTGTGGGCAGTGCAGATCTGCAGCTTGGCTTCAACTCCTCAACCCAAGACCCACGGTGAGCTTTATTTCCTCCAATCATTCTCTTGAATAGTTACAGGGATCTTGCGAGCATCTCGTATAAACTGACATTGGATAATCCGGGGTATCGAAGGTTAAGACCATCATTGATATTGAATACTAGTTTAAGCTGTTTTCCAGATTCATCTTAGTACAAACTAAGCTTGTGAGAAGCTGAGCCTAACTTCAATGGGCGTTAGTCGAACATTTTACATGATCCAAAAGTCTACTTGCGAGCGTTAACTCTAAGAATCACTTTCGTTAATATCGTTATCATGAGACTTCCAATCGTGTTGCTCATCCAGCATCGAGTCAAAACCTGGTACGTAGCCATGACCTATCATCTTTGTAAATGAAGTATCAGGCCGACTCTATCCGTATCTGCTCGTAATTGAGCACAGCCAGGCTCTAGGAATTACGAGACTTGCGAGTGTCAGCACTCCGACCAGTTATCGCGTCGGTCTTCCTGGAAGCGAAAGAGACACCTATCTTGGTAGCGAATTGGTTTATCAATGACTAAGTTTCATGCATGTAAACCTGTTGTTTCAATTTATTTAATGCCGAGCCCTCGCAGTTCACAACTTTGTGTATAGTGCGAAAGCCCTCAGGCGTTCATATCAACAACATCAGAGATAGAGGAACTTCGCGGTGAGGGCAAGAAATCTGTTACAACCTTTGTTGCTCCTTTTATCCACAATCTATGTGGTTTCGAAGAGATCAAACATGATGCTTAATCTCACCGATGACCAAGATGCACAGATGGTCTCTCAAAGCAATATGTCCTATGACCAGTAACACCTCATGCACCAAAAAACACACTGTCGGAAGCGTTTTTGTGCCATGTAGGTTCCCTTTTTATCACTAGGGTTCTTTGCAAGGCAATAGATAGGCTAACGTCTGTCAGCACTCTCTGTTGCCCATTCAGAGTAAGCTTGTTAAAAAGGGAAAGTAGCTCATAATACGAGAGTTACTGATGTCTAGCCTCCATCTGATACGCTCGTAGCCATAACTAGATACTCACTTTACTGAATTCTGATAGGAGGCTCCCCAAATTTCATCTCCCAGGGTCTAAATGGTAACTATCTTCCAGCTTAACTTCAAAGGTCCAGATACAACACGTACACTATCAGGAAATTAATGAAGAACCACCATACTCTGGACTACAAAATCAAGTGTACCCCGCCGGCTAGACATTATCGGACCTTCTTCTAGGCCCGTATACTTACGACTGCCTGGATAATGCGACAGATCCCGTCCCATCGATGAGGAGAAATACAGCATGAATGTACCGGTTGAGAAGACTCACGGATACATTGAAGGGGCAAGTTTAAATCCACCCTTCTTCCATACCATTACCCCATCGCGCTACATACCAATATAGTGACCAGTCTTCCCGAGTTGGGTTCGTCGAATCTACCTATCATCGCCTCCGCTGAGGTAAATGCTACTTCTGGTAATCCCATTTCTCATATGGTGCTATTTTATGTTGTTGTTCTAAGGATCCGAACTCCAACCCCGACGTTCCCAACAGTGTCAGCTGGGCTGTTAGACTGCCTAAGCAAAACTAAACCGTCATTAATTACAGTGATGAGTTTTTCCGCAGTCATGAAGCTTCACTCAGTCCAGGCCGTGGACAAGCGGTCTTAATGTTCTGAGGGGAAAGGAACACAGGTCGTCGCAACACATACAGACTTAGCATCGATTTTCTCAACAGTCTTGGTATAACCTAAGGCCCAACTTTGACGAGACGCCGATCCCCTTGAGTAGGAATGGGATCGTGGAAGCAGAGACGTCGCGCCATGAGCATGTCAACGTGGACCACTGGGGTAAGGCTAATGTTGAAGGCATACACAGCACTGATAATCAAGATGAAGGTAGGCAGTAACTGGCTTTAACCATACACAGATCGATCCATATCAAATAAACACCCTCATGCCAAATGCCAATGCAACTTCTTCTGGGGTAATTGAGAGGCCTGTGACCCCGCTTGATGCATTACTAATGGTTCTCGTGGCTGACGAGTACACCCATCCTTGGCCAGTTCTTCACTCCAGTGGCGATGTGACTATCTCTTCTGAACGATCGATGCTCTTCGACTATAGCCAAAATATCCGGTTGCCAAGTCAGCAAATATTAAGCAGCGTCCAATAGCACTATGTGATATCTAATTTCACGGCGGGGATCAACTGCCAAGGGGGGCAGTGCGTGCCGATGCCCTATCTGATATACCGACAGCATGATCGGCATGTCAAATTGGTGTCCTTTGAGCTCCATTCAACGGTGCGACCAGGTTGGTGAATATCGAGATATGGGAGAGTAAACATCGGGAAAATAGTCATATTTCAAAAAGCTGTTTTCTTGTTTTACTGCAGGGTTCTACTGCGTAGGTACAGAAGTAAGCGTATTGCGAGAGAAGCACTATGGTCTACCCAGGACACCCAAGTCGTGGGTGCTATACCTGTCGCTCTCGTAAAGTCAAAGTATGGGAGTTTCTTTATTTTGACATGACCATCAAACTGGCTAATCACAGTCCAGTGTGATGAGACCAAGCCAATCTGTCTGCGATGCACGAAAGCCAGACGTCATTGTGAGGGCTATCGTGACTCGGGTGCCAACAACAACATACCTGAGAAACAGGGCGCAGCGCCAGGATCTAATATAGACATGCTCGTGGCTAAACGCAATAGCCAACCTACTGCTCCAGGCGATGAATTCTGGGGCAGCATTTGGATGAACACACAATTTACTATCCTGTTACGCTATCCCACTACAGCACTTGATCGAGTCAATTTACATCGTCTTTATGCAGAGCTTGTCCGTCTCCCTCAAGCTGCCTGCATCTATGGCGGTTGCTTAACTTATATACCCCAACTCAGTCCATCACTCGTGTCATCCTCGCCACTTCTACCGGCTCTATCAGCTCTCATTCTTGCATTCGTCGTGCGGAAAGACAACAGCAAGCATGCACAAGAGCAAGCCATAACCAGTTACCACAGGGCTCTCCAGCTTATTCGCCAGATAATCGATCGTAACACTACAAGAAGGCGAAACGAGGTCATTCTCACCATGTTAGTGCTTAGTATGTACGAGGTATAGTGCCTATTGCATTGAAAGAAAGCTTACCATTTTGACTGTTGAAGAAGCGCAACTTTCTCTCATGCGAGGATTGCTAACCATGCTAAGGATTTGACTAACCCCTGCCCCAGCCAATCCATCTTCAATCCTCATCTCGGAGGCGCTATCGCCTTTGTAAAGTCGCAAGACCTAGTCTCATCTCAGGATGAGACGAGCAAAGGTTTATATATAGCACTCCTCACACGATTTGTAAGGCCCAGCCCGCCTACCCTGTAACCTGTTAGGTCTAACGCATTCAAAAGATGTCCGCCTGTCTCATCATCGACATAACCCATACCGTCCAGGAATTCCCTTTCACAATGCCAGAGCTTCTCACCTTACATGACGCACTGCTTCAGACCCCTTTCGTCTCTCCAAGGTCCCAACTACAGGTTTACCTCTGCAAGCTAGCCATTCTGCACCTGCAAATCTCGGAAGCTGCTAGCAACCTGAGCTCGGGACATACCTCCTCAACTACTATCACCGGTATTCTCGATTCGATAAATGCGACCACCCACCAGCTTTCACAATGGCCGGGCTCCCTTCCCACAGAATGGATTCATAACACCATGGTGGTCCCTTCCGAGGACTGGAATCTATGGATGCCGGTAGCACACGTTTATTCATCATTCTGGGCCGCTAATGACTGGACGCGCTATCGCGCTTTGCAAATATGTACATGTCACCTTCGTCTCCGCTTCTATCATCTCCTAACCGCCACCAATCGTGTCAATATAGCATCAATTTCTCTGGGCAGTTTATCTAACGATATATCCATGACACGTGTGAAGATCCGCAATCTTGCCAACGATATATGCGCATCTATGCTATATCATTTGGGATATAGGTGCATGGGGTCTACCGAAAGACAATACCCAATCGAGGCATATCCTCAAGGGAAGTACGCAAGGTTAACATCTGCATCTCAAGTTACGTGGCCATTATACGTAGCCGGTATTGTGGAGGGAGTAGAGGTCACTCAGCGGATGTGGATTGCGCGCCAGCTGGGTGTCATCGGCGACGAGATTGGGGTTAAACAAGGGAGTGCGATGGCGGAGGTGGTTAGAGAGCTTGCGCTCAGAGAATTGAGACCAGGCCCAGGGAGTGAAACAAGTATGCACATGGCGATGGCTTGTTGAAAATGGGGTGTTTCCAGTATTCTGATATGCTCAAGAGGGGTGACTGGTTTGATCGGAATGTAAAGGCTTTACCAAAGTCTCATTTATAAATTGATCACTCCCTACACTATGAAGATGAGCAGCCTCTAATTGGTAGAACAATGTAGATAAGCGAAGTTCGGCAAAAATGGAAGATCCGTGGCTTCGGCATAACTGAGGATTGGCTCTAGGAGTCGGACTCGCTGAACCTTGGGGGCCAGCATTGGCATGACTCGCGGCTCGGCACCTCCTCAACAACTGCACGACACGAATGTCTGAGATGTATCGGCTTTATTTGAGTCTGGCCGTAATGACTCGCCCACGCTGACTACTATATAATTCTGGAATTCCAAACAAAGAACTTTGAATTTCCAGTTTACCTGGTGAATCCCCGCAGGGAAGACAACTGGTGGGATAACAATTATCGTCCGATGCCATCGCATGCAGCCAAGAAAGGTAGATACGAGCTAGGGATAGGAATTGGGGGGTCAACCAACCACCACATAAGGCTGGCTTCTTCTGCAATCGACCCATTCTCTCCCTTGACAAACATGCCCTCACCCGTCAGAGCCGATTTACAATGTCAACAATAACCCCCCGCCCCACCCTCGACCCCGGATGGGCACCATCAGTATACGGCTGTAACAGGAAAGGTGACTTCTGGAGCTGGAACTTCCATACCGAGAATGATCAGCGCACGGTCCTAGGAGGCCCATCTCAGACCACCAACTGCCTCCCATCGACCTGGGATCCCTCCCAGGCCTATGCAGGAACGCAATGTCCGACGGGTTACACCTCTGCCTGTCTGTCAACCGGGTCGGCTATGCCAACAACGACAGTTTGCTGCCCCACGTACGGTTGATCTTATGCCATTGGATTCGAATCCCGTTAACGCGAAGAAACATCCACTGATGGCTCGCTCCTCTTTTTTAGAATTTATTCGTTTAGTTGCGTTGAGAATGCGAGCAAAAACCCCCACGGCCCCTGGTTTCCTTGTATGTCGCAGTATGACACTGCTACGAAACGAAGGATTACCGTGACCGACTTCGCTGCGAATACAATCGACTTTACGGATGTTAATCAAGGAACCAATCTTCATCTGTTTGCCATGGGTATCAGCCATACCAGTCCGGTATGCAGTGTGATTCCCAATCCCTGCGTGGAGGTCTTACTAGCTAACATGTGGATACAACGCGATAGACCGCAACCGACCCAGCGGACTCGGATCCAACACCGTCACCCTCCGGTACCTCTGAGCCCAGCTCTTCGAGTAGCATAAGTGCAGGTGCAGCCGCCGGTATCGGCGTTGGGTCTGCGGCCGGTGTTATGCTCATAGCATTGCTGGGATGGTTCTTGCTCCTGCGAAGGAAGAAAGCAGAGTTGAATGCCCCTCCAGTCGCCCAATATCCTGTACAAATCGGTGACGGGAAAGACATGACCCGTAATACGCAACCCCAGGAATTATATGGGGATGGAGCGAGGGAACTTCCGGGTTAAGCAATGGAGCGGGCTGTGCAGGGATTGAGGCATGGTAAACCCGGACTATGCATTGATTGTTACGCCAAGGGCCTGGGGTATAATGGGATTGTTATGCGGTGCCCGGTTTTGATATCTTAATTAATTAATACCCGAAGATGCGAGATTTTATTGATGTTTGCCGTTTCCCCACAAGCACCGGTGTACCCCACCACTTCCGTGATTTGAGCAAAAGATTTTCAAAAAAAATAAAAAGCAAAAAAGATGTTGACGAGAGTGGGATTTGAACCCACGCCCCTTTCGAGACTGGAACCTTACTCCAGCTGAGAGATTATTAGTGAACGTTCGTAAAGATGAGAATAATAGTGGTACTAACCGCCTTGGACCGCTCGGCCATCTCGCCTTGGTTATTACACATGTTGTTATTTTTGTTATATACAGTATGTTTTTTAGATAGTACATCGAGACCATATCGACTAACACATAGGTGATTTTGTTGGGAACTTGCTAAGGAATTTTGGGTTACAACTGTATTCATGAATATACGGAAATGGGTAGAGTATATTCCCCAATGGCTTCGGGTAGGCTAATAGAGAATATAGTTTAGTGGATGTCTGTAGCGTTTCCGAGCTTATAGTCAAGGAAATATATCATTACTGCCCATTGCACGCATTGCGTCTGATATTTCTTTTAACATTTCCAAATCTAAGTACTATCAGTAATAGTCACAGTGGAACAATGGAGCCAGTACATGAACTACAACTCAAGCATACTATATGTACCAAAATCCAGAACCTATCGACCCCTCAACTACCTCCTCTTCCCAACTTGCCCGAGATCATGAGTGACCCCAGGGAAGTTCATACACAGAGCTAAAAGGAAGATGTCAACCGAGCAAAGTGAACAGCGATGAAGACCGAGCGAGACACGCCGTAAACTCAAGGATACATCCAGAGTGTAATGATATGACACAAAGACAACGAAAGCACCAGAAATAGCTACCATTGATTTGAGTTTCGCTGCTCAATGTGGTGCCTAGACAGTCTTGGTTCCTTTCAAATCCACGCATTTGATGTCACCGGTAACAGAAACCAAGGCGCAAAGGACTAGAAAGTTATCCATTCAATCACCCATGTGGTATCTTACACGAGGCCAGCTAAGTATCCCGGCTTCCTTGACCGATGAGCCTGTACCAAAATATCTGTAGCCGATTTGCTGGATATAGAAGCAGTGATGCCAGAAAGCCCTTACCATGCGGCTTGACGCGTAAATATATCCATATGGTCCCTCAAGGTCGTGCTTGACGCTCGTGTGTGATTCACATGCGGGAAATATATCTGAAATCTCATCATGGGCGATGTCACTCCGTGACTCAAGAGGGTCTTGTTGGATGCTGGATCTCGGGAGGTGGGTGTTGATGCCATACTATGGAGGCTAGTAGATGAGAATATCGATGCCTGGATGAGGTCTTGCTTTCCTGACATTGATACTATCTTACCTGACACCCCATCTATAACCAGATGAAGCATGTTTACTGAAAAGCCTGCCGTAGCAATCAGTGTACAATGATTTTGATGTCTGTCATAAGAATGTTTACAGTGGCATCCTGATTAGATAAGAGATCCTCGAAGGAAAATGAATTCTAGTCCCTTGTAAAGTGTCAAAGTGAATTGCTGTCCGATCATAGCCATAGCCACCATATCCACGTCAAGTATCGCCCAGAACACCCCAACTCCATTGCTTGTATGCCGCCAATGAATGAACCCAACAACTCCGGCCACTGTAACCCGGCCGGATACAAATGGAATAGATAACAAAGAAAGGAGACGTTCATCCACCCCCATTGAACATTTTTATGTCCCCATCACCTCTCTATCCGACTTAATGCCCCGAGAATCAGACCAAGGTCTTCCTTCGGCCGTGGCCGCAGGGTGAGGTCCTTGCTCTCGCCCTCGCCCTCGCCCTCCTCTACTGCAAGTCGACGCATTGCATTCCTCGCATCACGTTCCTCCAATCGCTCGGCGCAGATGCGCAATACTCGCGACGATACGGTGTCTGACATGGTTCGGTAAAGTTCGATATCGTGGATGCCGGCCGCCAATGAGTCGAGAGTCGGCGCTAGACCACGGGTTATTCGGGAAAGCCTTGCGGATATAGCCGTTGGTGTTATTGGTGGTAAGCTGAGTTCTGATGAAGACGCTGCCTGAGTCTCAGTATCTGATTTCCCTGGGTGGATCGATTCGTAGATCCTCTGCTGGGAAGGGTCTAATAAAGATAAGTCAATCGGTTCAGGATCTGACCGAGGTTTAGATTCGGAGCCGGATTGCGGAGGTTCTTGTTGGCCCTCCGGTGCGGTATCCTGCTGTTTCGATGGTTTGATCTGTGGAATGGAAGGTGGTCGAAGAAGTGCGTTGAGAGCGTGCCTCTCTCGTTGTAGCCTTCGCAATGTCAGCACGTCCCGAAAAGCCATGCTTCAGGATTATGTACCTTTGTATTTGCTCCTCTAATTCCTTAATCTTATCTGCGTTTTGAATATTCTTCGGATTTGGCTTCTTAACCACGACAGCTGGCGGATTCACATCTTCTCGCTCGAACCAGTTTGAAAGCTGGGAATTAGTAGAGAAATCTTTGAGCAATTCTTCCTGGATCACACGCGCTAAGGTATGGTTAGCTTGAAACCAAACTTCCAATTCGGCGCAACATACCCGCTAGACGAGCGCTCGCATCCTCCGAGCGCCCTCGTTTATCGCTCATTGCCCGAGTCGCGCACCAAATCAAGAGCTGCCTCATCCTCCGCGGTTCCGGTAAGTCGCTTGCAATGTGTTTATAGAATTCTGCAGTGTCAACTTGATCATGAGGCAATGCTGTTAAAGCTGTCAGTACGACACCGAGCCTTCTCAGAATAGGTTACCCACCATTAGACGCCCCGGAGTCAATTAGCGAGCTGGCCCTTCGTCCCCGCATCCCCAGACTACTCCGTCTGTTCCCTTTCCCTGACTTGGCCGCACCCCTCAATTCCTTGTTCCGCTGTATGACCGGCGTGTCTGCCATAGGCAAGGTAATCTTCGACGTCCCAGCCTGTTGCGGTTCGGGTGAAACAAAGCCATTCCGTTGATCATCATGGGATTTACTCGGTCTGCCTTTCTTCCGCTTCTTTTCCACCGGTGCCGTTTCACCATTGTCCTGCCTGCATGTTGTGCGTGTTGTGCGCGTGATGCTCGCCGGTTGTGTTACTGGCTCAGGTAAAGAAGGTTTCGCAGTCGCTCTCGTTTGCCTGTTCGAACTCTCCGATGACTTCTTCGACGCTATCGCATTCTCCGATTTCTCAGCCGGACGTTTCTTGGGTGGCCGGCCCCTCCTCGGTGACGGTTTTGCGGCGGGCATCTCTAGTTGAGGGATCTCCGGGATAGACTCCACTGTCGGTTTTGATTTTTTAGTCGTAATGCGAGTGAATTGGAACCCCTCATCTTCTTCATCGACAGCGTCTTCTACAGCGACAAAACGACGTTAGCACATGAGAATTGCAGCGCACACAACCGCATACTCCCATAAATAATCTATAACATAACTCTTCAAGGCGAATGAGAGCACTCACGTTTTCTCTTGGTAGATGCTGTTTTCTCTTCGCTCTTCTCCACGCTGCTCAAACTCAATCGCGTACTTGACCTTGTCCCCTTTCTGCCAGGCGCGGCAGAAGACGCAGGACGCGCCTGCGCCTGGGACGTTGCCATATCAATAGACTTCAGAGGTACGCGACGCTTCGTTTTAATCTTAGGGGTTTCCAAAACCGTGACGGTCATGTCAGGACCAAGGAAAGGCGGGGGAACGAGTGGCGGAGTAGATACAGAATGAAAATAATGAGCGTTTGGTGTATATAGCGCGACCTTACTTGCTTCGAAGGGAGAGAAATGATTGTTGTGTTGAAAATGGAGGCTAGTTCACCCTCTCGTAAATTAATCGGTCGCCAGTGTCGGATATCGCTTCGCTCTGACCCCCTTCACTCGTAGCGCAGAATTGGTCTCAAGTGATTGTCAAAGTTGTACCGACTGTCTCTCTTTCTATATTCCTCATAAGTGATCTGAGGTAGAATGGTTGCGCAGTCGTAGGAAACCGAGCCGGCGGCACCTTTTTATAAAGACGGGGGCGTTGAGGGTCGTCTGTCAGTCGGCGTCGGAGGTGCCCGTCCAGCACACCGGTAACTTAAAATCGCAATTGACAGCGACCACTCGAGGCATTCAAAAACAGATTTATCGGATTCTTGGGTTGGCGAGTTTCGCAAAGCGCTCCTTGCGCGGCCGTGCTTAAGCTCTTGACGGGGGGGGGTTTGGCTCTTCCAAAGTCCGCCGCAAGCACGCGGTTGTTTTGGTCGTGGCGCGTGGGGGACTCGCGCTAAACCGCTTTGGGATTGACATCATCGAGTCTATTACTACGTAGTATATCCCAGACTAACTCTTGATCTACAGTCTCTGACGTTAAAATAATTTCGTGCAAAAGATCAAACATAGATGGTAGATAGACCCGAAAAAGAAAATAATATGACATGGAAATTTATATGTTCAAAGATATCTAACATTTACACACCCATCGATAGCCTGCCCGCGACCTTCATAATCCATCAAAACGAGTTAGTGGTAATGCAGACAACTGTGCTAGATAGTTGCTTAGAACGAATCACACCAGACCCCTGAAATGACACCGGAACGCCTTAGAATGAACGCTTCTCACTTAATGGACAAGACTCATGCAAACTCAGACGCATCGGTTGGTGGTGCCAAGCTTCCTTCGATTCGGCGCTTGGCAGCCTGCATCTCTTCTACGGTGACGTTTTCTGCCTTCTTCGGCAGGTCAGGTTCGAATTGAGGAATGTCAGGATGGTGACCCACAGACATGCCCACACGAATCTAAGATAGAGGTGGCTGATGTTAGCAAAAAACAGTCCACAACCAGTAAGGGGTAAATGGAGGAACTCTTACCAGGGTCTCGAGAGGGCCCTTTGAATTGTCCACTAGGTCGCTGTCAAAGTTGACCACTCCTTCCTCAAAGAGAAGTAGAAGGGTACTTCCACCGAACTTGAAGTATCCCAGTTCTTCGCCTCGGGTGACTTTCTCTCCAGCCTGGCGTGTGATTACTGTACTTCCGACCATCATTGCTCCAACACAGACCACCATAACACGGCCATGCGCAACCGAATCGATGGGGACAAGGACTCTAACATTCTCTCCATAGACATCTAGTGCGGAGCGGATGGCCATCGGGTTCACCGTGTAGTATTCACCTTCGATGGTTTTGGGCGTCCCCATGACGCCATCCACAGGAATATGGAAACGGTGATAATCCTGGGGTGCAAGACGGAACACTCCTAAGCCTCCGTTCTTGTAGCGGTGGACGTCCTCTGGGTAAGCATCACCGAGAAGTCTCTCAATGCTGAACTCCCTTCCTTTGACCCAGACATTAGTTGCTTCGTCAAGACGGTCGAAAACAACTGATCGACAATCAGCTGGGGACACAACAATCCGTGGCTCGTCCGGAGCCGAGCAAGGTCGAGCGCCTGACTTCAGTTCGCGATAAAAGAACTCATTGAAAGTCTTAAACTTCTCTAGGGGGAGAAGAACCTCGGACAGGTCGAGTTGGTGGAAACTGATGAAGTCTTGAATCTGACTTGCGGAAGCGGGGTCATCGTATTTCTTGCCTTGTTTGATACTTAACGACTTGAGAATTTTGCGAACTGCAGGAATTTGTCAGCTTCATCCAGAACTCCACCATAGTTAATTGGAGTGAGCATACTTCTCTTTTTTTCCATCTCTCGACTCTTCAATCCCTTGTACAGCAACCGAATACCAAGACGAACATAAACGCTCATCCGCTCCTCATTGATTTGTCCCGTAATTCGATCTTGAACAAGAATATTCGCGGAGTTGGCACCCAGCTTGTAGCCTCCATACGAGATCTTCGTTATCACTTTGGAGTACCATTTGCGCTGCGCTTGACTTGAGGTCACGAAGCCGCCCATAACAAGGTTGTCGACTTGTCTCCAGTCTCGACTAGCACAGGTAGCGATGTGTGTGATAATATCGGCATCTGAGCGTTTTGAGAGCCGTGGTTGATGACAAAGGGGACATTCGCGAAGTTCAATGACATGCTCTTCGCCGCGTTCATCACCCAAGTCATCGGGCTGAAGGTCTTCCTCATTCGTGATTGGCTGTTCTTCACTGGATAATGTAGGTATGGCTGTTCTCTGAGGGTCAGCATTGACCGGCATGTCTGTGCTTGATTCGAGGATGAGATCATTGTCGTCACTGGATGGCTCCTCGCTGTCTTGACTGCCTGTGGATGGTGTGGGAGTGAGTCCCCTGCCGGTTGTCCTAGAATCTTTCTGAAGTGCCTGCAGGGTATCTTCCAGGCAGATTACAACTTGATCGAAAGTCAAATCCATTGTCTCGCTGGCCTCATTCTCCGCACTGAATCGCTCGAAGAAGCTGTCAATGGTTGATTCCTTCAATGTGGAACCAAGGGTATCGAGCATTGTAGTTAGCTCGACTTTGTCAATGCGGCCGCTGTCATCAGCGTCATATTGCTTGAGCATTAATCTCCAAAATTGCTGCCGGAGTGCACGGTAGGGCATGTATTTGGCCTTGATGAATAGCTCCGGAGAATGCTTGTCCTCCCATCGTTCTTTGTGCTTCATCAGCAGCGGGATCCGATATGTCTGCAGGCCATCTGCTTCAAGAGGGGCAATCACGCTGCCCTCGTTCTGAACTGATGTTGGCGTCGTTGACAAATAGCTACTGCTACCCTCCTCCGGCAGCGATGAAGGAACTGATGTCGGGATAGATTTAGGGGCTGATGGTTGGGGTAGTGTCGACTGCTCCTGCGCGGCTTGGTTCGACAAGGAAGCTGTAGAGCTTCTCGACCGGACCAAGCCTGGTCTTGACAATTTCGATAGGCTGCTAGTCGATGGGGATGGGCTAACCCCGATCTTGATTCCAGCCTTGTTGTTGGAGAGAGATTCGGTAGACCCTGTAGGATCAAGTGCGGGGTCCAAGAACTTATAGAGCCCAGTCTCCGGGTCTGACTCGGGAGCAGCCTGGACCAATGTTTGAAGTGGAAAACTCGTTGAGGCAACGAAGTCGTTCCCAGAGAACTTGTCTCGGTCCATGACTGTAAAGCTGATGGTATAAGACTGTTCATGCTTCATAACTTGGAAGACCATCTTCTCGTGGTATACTGGGTTGAGATTGTGGCGCACAACCGGAGTCCGAAGTGTCTTTCTTCCCAATGAAGTCACAACAAAGGGGTCCATATCAAAGGAAGTTCGTGTCACTGTAGGATAGATTAGCTGCGACACATTTTCTAAAGATTGAAAGTACAATACCATTGCGTTCCGGTGGGAGATCGGTCACCCTGACAATCTCCATGAACACGATACCTTGCACCCCATTGCCCGCTCCAGAGAACTGATACGCCCTCGCTGCCAGCGACTTCCGCCTGAGTCGCGCGAGACGTAGCCTTCTCCGGCGCTTCTCGTTAACCTCGGGCCTTCCCAAGTCATCTGCCTCATCGGATATCTCTTCGTCTCTTTCGGCTTCATCCGATATGGTCGCTGGGATCTGTGGATAATCATCCTCTTCCTCTCCACAGCCGATCAGCGTCCTGAACTTCTGGTAGGTCTCGCTCGGAGGAGCTGTTGGATTTGCAGTATCGACAAGTGAAAATTGAAGTAGAATCTCCCCGGAGATGTCGCTGTCCTTCTTCTTCCCCGATTTCCTTTTCGACGTAAGAGTATACCATTTGGGCTTATGCGCTTCATCAGCCTGAACGTCCGAGGTCTGCGGTCGGTATAACCAATACTCACCTGCTGATGTATCTGACCCTCGGCGAATATTTCTTCCAGAGGAATATCAAACTCGCCCATATAATCCTTCCCGAACCGATCGTGATCCCAACAGATACACTCGAGCAATGGTACACCGACGATCGGCATTTCAAAGGTCACGTTCCATTCCGGATTCAGCGTCTTGGGGATTGTTGGAGTCGACTGTCGCGCATCGCCGAGTGTGACAACTAGATACTAGTAATCGAGCCATGGTCAGTTACGAATCCGGGGGGGGGGGGTTGAACAATTGAGTTGTCAGGGGACCACTCACTGGGTCGCTCGTCCCATTTCGATCTTTTGCTGCAAGACACCTCCCCTAATTGTTGAGCGCTCAGTATGTTAGCCCTCGCAATCCGAAATACACCGAGATGGTATAACCCTGCCCGGTATCCAGGGGGAGGTCGCACTCACCCGTAAGACAACCACCTTCAGGACCAGCGGCTTGGCGTCTGGTATCCTCATGGGACTGGTACTTCTGCTTTGTCCAGGAGTAGGAGTATTACTCCGTGAAGTTAAATGAGTACTGAGCCGTTGTGGCAACGGTAACCGCACCATGATGGCCGTCGAGTGGGGGATGTAGTGAGACGGAGATGGAGACGGGACACGTCGCGTCAACAGCAGAAGCCGACGGATTAAACGGAAACAAGGTCAGGATATATGAAGCCAATCAATCAAGTATTATAATTGAGAATATTTAAAAACGGGTGAGTTGTAGGGGGTTGATCAGTAGGCAAAGTAGTAGGCAGAAGTCGTTCCCAAGTCCGGAGACGTCGCGGGTAGTGTCAAGTTTCTGGGTCGATTGAAGATCTACTCGGGACGAACCAAAAAAAAAAAAACAATCAATAAGACCAAGACGGGGAGTACCACGGTTTGAGAACCGGGAATTCAAAGGCACAAAGAACAATTGCTTGTTTCAGGACAGTGTGATGGGGAGAGAAGAGCGAGGGAGTGGGCGGATTGGCGAGAGAAGTGCTTGAGCCAAAGGGCAGTCAATCGTCCACAGCTCACTATGAGGTCTGTGATAATGCCGATAAACCAGGGGTTTTCGCGTTTGGGTTTTTTTGAGGGGAGGGATTTAAATTACTGGTCTGCGACCTAGATTAATTTCTTTTCTTTTTTCTCTCTTCGTTTTTTGAGTTGCTGTAAGGTTAATTACTCGATGATCTAGGGATACTGTCTAACATTTATATGGTGTGTATGTCTACTATTAGGTAAATACTAGTAACCACCAAAAGCGAGTCATCATCACTGCATAATTCTGGGGGGTCTGTAAGTCAGTCTCCAACCAAACCACAAAGCTTCTAAATAAATCCCCAAAGTAATCAGTCAAATGGTTTCCTACGGAACCTTCGGTTAGCAGACTTGGCACTGGCCATCCCCAACGACGTCACTTACTGGTTCTCAACTGTGATCCACTCCCTCTCGTCGTCTCCACTCGGTTGACTTGAATGAGGTTTGATGTTCGACGGAGTAGTACTCCGTAGTACTACTAGTACTACTACACAGTATGGCAGATAAATGTGGCTGCCTAATGTGGCTAAAGCGTTACCGGACTCTTACTGCATCCGGTATGGGTAACCTGATGCATACTCCCGGAGTACATCCATCTCTGACAGGCAAAACCGAAGTAATTTGCATCCGGTCTGGAATTTCTTAAAAAAAGAAAATGGATCACAATACCTACGGAGTGTCCAATGGAGAAACAATGAATATCACAATAGAAGAAATTTACCCCAAGGATCCATGTGCATACACCCCTTGCCTTCCTGGACACATTTCCCATCAGTAGAGTTAGTCAATGATATTTTTAGGTTAGATTCCCAACAAATACCGCGGTAGATTAACTCTTTCCCCTCACGTAATCTTTGGTGTGGCTTTACCTTTCCCTGAGGTTGCTTGATTTGGACCCTAGATAAATGTCTCACCGTTGCAAAAATTACATGACAGGTACCTAAAATATCTCAAACATCGCCCTCTTACTCCAGTATTAGTATGTAGTACCGTTATCCATCTGTTCGACTGTCTTTCTACAATTATCGTTTCCGAAAACCTAGACCTCATTATCTTCCACACATCTACACCGGGCACACCGATCTATCTACGTAGATTAATACACCCTACTAATCCATAGTGCATAGCCAAGAACTTGACAAACGGAACGAAGCCCCCCTGTGCGTGCATATACCTGCATATACGAACTAATCCAGTCTAGCGTGGCAGTGACCCTCTCAGCCTCCCTTATCATGGATTGAGGGGTAAAAGGATGTAACAGCTTTGCTTCAAAATCACTATTTTTTGGGCCAGTTGGCCCCTCTGCCCCGCACTTGTCATGCAGTGTGCGGTGCGAAGTGACGTTGATCGCAGATGATCAACCCGCTTGTGATGATCAAGACATCAAAGGAGGTCTTCAATGGCGGTGGTAAAGAGCATTGTCAACAACTTATACATTATTCGGAGGTATTATGACTCTTCCTTGGCTTTAGTTTCCGCGAAACTCCGTACAGTTCGAAGATGAAAGTCGACCATCGGGACTGCTTTCACTGCCGAGCTAAACCTGTCCGACTGACTGGGCTAAACAAGCCGAGGCAAGTATGACGCTTTCGCTCTCACCGAGTGACTCCTAGGGAGAGTGCACTGATTATTGCTATTCTATTGTCTTTAATACTATCACCTGATAAATCTCTCTGTAGAGGTCACGGTTTTGCAAGATATCCCTCGAGATGATAATTACAAATTGACTATAGACTGGCAACCTGAATGTTGGCGGCAGAGTAGGGCCCGGGAAAACAACAATCAGAAGACAGATGAATTTAATCCTGTCTTCGCTGGTCTGTCCTTCCCCAAACTTCGTCTGTGTTAGCCTTCCCCTTCGTTTCCGGCACCCACCAGTAGATGAAGCTTCCGAGGAGACAGGCCATCGCTGCAAAAACCCAGTAGATCTTGCCCCTTCCGCCCAGCAGATCGTTCAGCATTGGGAAAAACTGTGCCACGATGAACGTCGCAATCCAGTTCGCTCCTAGCGCCCAGCTCTGTGCGGCGCCGACCGCCTCCGGGCCAACGAGCTCAGAGGCCAGAATGAAGGGGACTGGGCCTAGACCGACAGCGAAACAAGCAACGAAGAGCAGAACAGCAATGGCGGATAATGCTTTCTGGTTAAAGTAGATGCCTAGCGCCAATAGAACGGAATTGAGTCCCATGCCGCTGATACTTAGGAGTAGACAGGAGCGTCTACCGATCTTATCAGGTAGTGGTGAGCAGGCCAGGGTGATTACAAGATTGATAGCTGAGATGATCACCGTCAACAGGGCCGCAGTGGTGGGAAGGATGGTCTGCAAGAGGGAAACGCTGTACATGATGATGCTGTTGACACCAGTGAACTGCTGGGAAACCATGACTCCGACTACTGCAATGATGGCAGGGCGGTAAAAAGGATCAGTAATAGCTTGTATCATGGTAACTGGAGGTTGCTTGAGTGGCATATTCCCGGAGGGGGGTGATAGTAGGGACTGCTCTTCCCCGGAGCTGTGTTCAGGTGCTGCAGATGTTCTCCAGCCTTCAACCTCTGGCTCAATGTCTGCATCCTTTCCCCGTAAACGTTGCAGTACCTGTCTAGCCACATTCCCTTTCTGGTGATCTGCAAGCCAGATGGGACTTTCCGGGACTAAAAAGAGACCGAGAAGCTCCAGGCATCCGATGGCGCCAGCAATTGCAAGTATAATTCTCCACATACTTCCTTCACTCAAGAAGTAACCAAGGGACTGCGTCAACAGAATACCGACATTAGTCATGATTTGTGTAAAAGCGCCGAAAAGCCCCTTAGCACTGGGAGGAGCAATTTCTGAGATATATATTGGACCCACGACGATGGAAGCGCCCGCGCCAACACCAGATAGAAGCCTACCCACACTCAATACGGGTATACTGGACGCAAATGTTTCCGCTATAGGGCCTAGGATAAAGAAGATGGTGGTTGCTCGCAGTGTGAACAAGCGGCCGTGCTTGGTGGAGACTGGACCTGCCAGAAGAGCTCCTACCAAGCCCCCAAGGGTGTATATAGAGGAGACCAGGCCGAATTGGGATGGGTTCATAGGTATGCATTGCGGGAGGCCCTGTGTTGTTGTCGAATGGATACTTTTGCGCTCGCAAGTTATCACGGCCTGGGGGGCATTGAGCTCAGCCTATCAAAATAAATTGTCAGCTAGCGCACTGGAGCCTCCAGGATGGATCAAGCTCTGTGTTATACCAAATGATATCCGAATTGAAGCGGCCCTAACGTCGTGATAAACACAAGGTAGATCAGGTACGGAGTGACCTTCAACCCGTTTGATCCACCGAGGTCCATGGTGCATATGCTAATAGAAGCTCTTTTTACTTTTTCAGGATTTTTGAAGTTGGTTTAGGTTCATTAATATTGATTGGAGATTTGATGATCAGTTGTTGAGGTGGAGTCTCCTTTATCTCGCAAGATGGAATGACGTTATCGGGATCCTTATCATATTTATCGGGATAAGGAAACTCCGCGGCGGGAGGATTGGATATAGAACGTGATCTTCTTGATCCGTTGTTTCTCCCTGCTTCTTGTCCTAGATGTGTTTATAAGTAATCGGATTCCTTGTCATTCTTGTTGACGGTTTCTATCGCTCCGCGTGTATATATTCAGTCTATATTCACTAGTAGAACCTTATCAAAGTGGACTTCTTGAATTAAGATATGTATCAGCCTATTGTATCCGGACACATATATATCAGGTAAATATATGGTAATACTTCAAAATTTGCAACGTTTCGATTTCAATATATATACTATCTAAAAATCGGTCATGGTCAGTATATACACTAATCCGAATCCTTCGAAAGAGTTCTCTCATAGCCGACACCATGTTTCAGCTATCCTTGGAAGAATCCAGAGCACCTACTCCATTCATCATCAAATTCCGCGAGGGATATGTTATACGAATACGTCTCGACTAACAAACTTGCTAATTTATCAATAGAAATCTGCACCTTGGTGTAGTGGATCTGAGAATATACACGAGACTACAGCGTGACGCCACAAAGGACCGAAATACGATCCCTACTTTACCCCTCTGGGACTAAAGAGGATATCACCAGGCAGCATCATTCGTAATCATTTATCCAAGTATTCAAAAGTAATATAAATACGGCCATACTATCTTTTACTGCTTTCAGACATCAGTATTACCCTTTATTCTTCTATCATATCGACTGACACCATGAAAGCTCGTGAATATATCTACAAGAAAGGTAATGAAGGCGAAGATATTCTTACCGATGTGTACTGGTCAGAAATACCCTCCAAATGTAGCAGTCCTATTGGTTGGTATACCCCTCCGTATGTAATGGGGTCTTCTTTATTGACCTTGGCCATACAGCAATTATCTACCATGCCGGCGGTTTTGTCAAATGGTCTAAAGCGGTCGTTCCGAAATCAGAAATCTCTGCTCTAGCAAAGATAGGATTTGTGGTAATAGTGCCGAACTACAGACTATGTCCACAAATCTCTGTCCACAATGGTCCGATCACAGACTCTAGAGACTGTTTGGTATGGGCAGCTAACGAGTTGCCCGGATTGTTGCAAGATGAGTCTGTGGAAGTAGACCCGACTCGAATTGTTACTATGGGACATTCTGCAGGCGGAACATTGGCTTTATTGATGGTGCATCCTGACACACGTAGAAGCAGGGCAACACTGTCTAACCGAGTAATAGGGATCTGCGCCCGAAGTCCCAGTCACAGCGGTTCTTGACTTCTATGGCCTCAAGTACTTTTCCGATCCGACGTGGCGACTACCTATTCCCGAGTTTCGAAAATCATCCTCTTGGCCACAGGAGTATATTGATAAGGTTTACGAGGGGCACCAAGTTTCTGCATCGCCGCGTTAGGGGGCGATAGTCTTCCTCCGAGGGATGCATGGTTCGCTACTCATATGAAACAAGGAACTTTGTTGGATGAGCTAGTCCAGAATGAAGATAAGAGTTGTATTGATGGTACAGCTCGGTTTTCGACCTCATTTCCACGAACCATGTTTATTCATGGAACAGCAGATAAAGTGACGAACCATCGTTTTAGTGAACGGGCTCATGAAGAATTGAAGAGATTGGGGGTCGTTACAGATCTGTTACTGGCAGATGGTGAGGAGCATGTGTTTGACTTGACCTTGGAAGAAGATGATATGAACTTTGTTAAGTATGTCCTACCTGGGTTGGAGTTCCTTGCCCGGGCAGTAGGATTGCTGTAAATAGTGAAGATATAGAGCTGTAAGTGGCTGATACATTGCATGATTGACTTTGGTTGAACGAACGAATAGCCTATGAGTCTATTCATATATAGAGCTAAGGTACATTGCTCTTATAATGCAATATCACATAAGTTATCTTTTGATAGGTATACAAATTTAGGGATTTGACTACCTAGTAGTAGTAGTAGTACTGAGGCATAGCACTAATGCTAGTGGAAAACCGTATGATTGGTCAATTCAGTAAGACTGCTGACTAACCATTTCGGGCATGAATTTAGATGCAAACAAATACAAATCAGCGATCGTCTTTTCAGCTTCTCAGATCTCCATACCATTTTCTCCCTATCGCCATTATTACTGCATCCTGCAGGTCTCATGGTCTAGTGGTGGAGCTGACCCCCCGTACCTCCTTTTTATCTTCGTGCACTGTTCGCACACCACCCACTGGGTTCCATGGGTCTGTCTCCTGATTCATTGAAGCGAACCCTCGGCCATCTCCACATTCGCCTCTTGCCTCTCTCTCCATGAGTCTGACAAACCCACCCTCATCCTCCGGCCCGTTAACTGCTGCTTCGTCCAGGCCCACCGCGGCCACCGTCAGCCAGAGTCTGTCTCTGAAAAAGAACTTGCAGGCCGCTGTTGATGGTAATACCAGTTATTATTATCTTATATTATAATCCTCATAATTTTTTCTTTTTTTTTTTTTATAATTTGATACGTTTTCATTCTCTTTGTTCAACCAATTTTCTTTTCTTGTTTAGGGTTGCCATGTCACGATGTGCCCTGATTGAGTGAAAGATATTCCTGTCTGCAATCGTATGAACACCTATAGTACCACTTCTATACAACACCTTCCCAAAGAAGGCGATCAGTTGTCTACCAAGATCTTCTTTGCATTTTTCTTTCATCATGTTTGGAAGGAACTTCCCGTTTTTCAACTCTATTGGCGGGTTTTATCCACGTGGTAATGGCTTTCCCTGACTGGCATTGGATTGAAAGAGTTCCAAATACCGTTCCCCTTTTTAAGGACCCTTTGTTTTCCCTGGATGTTATTATCAGTACTATGTTATAGTATTCCGACTATTGATTTACGTATTGCGAGAAATGACTGTTGGAAGCTAACACTATTATAATGTTAAAAGAGCACCTAGATCCAAGGAAGCCGTCTGGAACTGGATATACCAGCAAAGTCCGTGTCCGCGACAAATACCACATCGTGGGATTCATCAGCAGCGGCACTTACGGACGAGTCTACAAAGCCCTTGGCAAAAATGGTCAGAAGGGTGAATTCGCAATCAAAAAGTTGGCAGGATTCGTTCGTTATTCCGTTAGTCTCGGTTCGCTGACCAGTCGCAGATTTAAACCGGATAAAGAGGGAGAGATTATCCAATACACCGGCCTCTCACAGTCTGCCATTCGGGAGATGGCCCTGTGTTCCGAACTGGATCATGCCAATGTCGTACAGCTAGAAGAGATCATTCTCGAGGACAAAGCCATTTTCATGGTCTTCGAATACACAGAACATGATCTACTTCAGATTATTCATCATCATACGCAACCACACAGGCATGCTATCCCGGCCCCAATGGTCAGGTCGATTTTGTTTCAACTTCTCAATGGCCTACTCTATCTTCATACAAATTGGGTATTGCATCGAGATCTGAAGCCAGCCAACATCCTTGTTACGTCAAGTGGCGCCATCCGTATTGGAGACTTGGGGCTGGCTCGTCTCTTCTACAAACCCCTCAACTCTCTTTTCTCGGGCGATAAAGTCGTCGTCACGATTTGGTACCGTGCCCCGGAACTACTGATGGGTAGTCGACACTACACCCCAGCCGTCGATCTTTGGGCCGTTGGGTGCATTTTTGCAGAACTCTTATCCCTCCGCCCCATTTTCAAAGGCGAGGAAGCCAAGATGGATAGTAAAAAAACAGTGCCTTTCCAACGTAACCAGATGATGAAAATCATCGAAATCATGGGTCTACCCACCAAGGACATCTGGCCGGGTATAGTGTCGATGCCCGAATATTCCCAACTCCAATCACTAGCCATGTCACGTGCCCCAGGCCATTTTCCTCGGTCTTCGAACTTGGAAGGCTGGTATCAAAGTTGTTTGAAAAATGGCGGTTATGCCACCTCGTCCGGTGCCGGAACCCCTGGTGCCGACGGATACGATCTCTTATCGAGACTACTCGAGTACGATCCTACCAAGAGGATAACTGCGCAGGAGGCACTAGAGCATCCATACTTCAAGAACGGCGGCCCTATCTCCGCTAACTGCTTCGAGGGCTTTGAGGGAAAATATCCCCACCGTCGTGTTACTCAGGATGATAATGATATCCGGTCTGGCAGCCTACCTGGTACGAAGCGGAGCGGGTTACCGGATGATAGTTTAATGGGACGCGCCTCAAAACGGCTCAAAGAATAACCTGGTCGTTGTCGATACTTTGAGAGCCTATCTATAATTTGGAGCGGGAGTACTTACGGCTTTTGAATCTGCATATACTTCATCTGTGGCATAATGAATTGGCGTTGGTTTGGTTTTTCTGCTGAGATGGCATGGTAAATTTAGCATATCTACAGTGTATAGAAAGGTAAATATGGAGCATTTAGTAAGGTATTAGCCGTTTAGCGTCATCTCAACTATAAACGGATATGCCGAATATTTATCTATGATATCGTAAACGAGACAATTAAGATGCATTCCCACATTCACGCCCAAGTTCCCTGTTACCCACCTGCCCAAAACCCAGTGCCATATGTCAAACAAAGATGAGAAGAAATTGAAGGAAATTCAGATCACAAGTGAATACGTCAAAAGAAATCATTTAGTAGCCTGATTCATAGTTAGTGATCATTCCCGGATAAAGTCAATTTCTTTTAATACGTACCATTCTGTTCTCTCCGTCCGTCACCCTCGTGATTATCATCACTATCATCATTATCATCCTTACCAGAGAGAGCAGATGCCTGGCCAGCAGCATCTCGGATGTGCTGTTCATCGCCGCGAAGTTTCTCAAAGTAAGCTTTGATGTCCTCCGCCCCCACAGCCTTACCCGTCTCCGCAAATGGTTTCAGAAACTCCTTAACTTTGTCACGCAGATGATTGTATACCATTGCGCCTTCGATAGCTCGCACACGGTCGATGTTGCTCAAGGCGGCTTCACCACGGTCAAGGAGGCTACCGGTGCCAGTGCTGCCACCGCCATTGGCTTCCCCATCTTCAGAGATCGGGGGCTCGTAGGTTTCTTCTTCTTCACGCAACTGGATGTGCGGTGAGAGATTGGGGTAACAGTCGCAACAGCGGCAGAAGTGGTCGCGGAAGTCTTCTTTCAAAAATAAGGAGAATGCGCCTAAAGGAACAGGGTCGGGGAGAGAGTCATGCTTGTTCTTTAGTGGAGGGGCCTGAGTAGGCTCCTCCTTTGTTGCTGGGTTGGGCTCTGGCTTCGAGTCCGAGGGGCTGTTCTCAGCATCTTCCTTGGTCCGCTTCGCAGTGGGCTCGCCTTCTTCCTCATCCTCCATTTTCCGTTTCTTGGGGTTAGTGGGCTCTTCTTTGACATCTGTAGTCGTGGTTTCTGGTGCAGATTCGGTCGTCTTGGGCAATCCACCTTCCTTGTACACAGGAGGAAGGAAACCAACCGTTCCGGCATATCGTTTCAACCAAGGATTTGAGTCCACGCACTTGTAACAGAGGAACGTCTCGAAATCGTCTTCCCCAGGGAATCCCGGAGGAAGTGGCGTCTCTTCGTCATCTTCAGCTTGACTATTCTCGCCCGCCTCTTTCTTGAAGTCCTTATACCAACCCCGCGGCAGCCCAATAAGACATTCTGGATGCCACCAGTCTTCGCCACAGCCGCCTGATTCAGCAGTTCCCAGTCCAAGACACTGAAACATAGTTCCCTTTTCTTCCTCCGCGTTATAGTCTTCACTACAGCCACAGAACTTGTTATAGAAATTTTGATTGTACTTGTTCTCGGGATGCGGTTCTTCAGAGTGGACACCCTTCGTACCGGTCTTGGGATCATTGCGCAGCATGCATGGAGCGGAAGATGGCACGCGAGTTGTACCACAATCACAGACAAAGTTTCTTTTGTTAAATAGTTCAACGAGCGTGTGTTCGCCATGGCAGGCGATGGAACAGGAGTAGCATACTCCTGCCGCGGTGTGCGGCGCATCGGCGGTTTTGGGAGGAGGATTGCAGGTTAAACAAGAGTATAAAGTCTGTCGCAGTGGTCCTAAAGCTTTCGTGCAGGAGTCGAATGACTAAAAGGTCAGTTGCTTATGACGTGGTCTATCGCAGGAAATCTATGCTCACATAAGGCAAGACCTCGCGTGCATCGGCTTCGAGTTGCATCTGACTCTCGATGAACCTAGAGCGTACCGTTAGATGCTTTTTTATTTTGCATCACCCATCGCATGGGTGTGCACTTCTTCGTCAACTTTGAGATAGAATGGGTACTTACTCTTTCGCAGTCTGCGAGTTCTGGGAGCTGAAGCTCTCGCGCCGGTTGCTAGCATTGTGCCCGTTCTTCGCTTGGTCGGTGTTGGATGGCACGGACTCAGAGTTATTCATGTTGATTGAAAGAGCCGTTGATTTAGGCATAAGTATACTAATCAAACGGTGATGGTAGGATGAATCGAGGCTGTTCTGCGCCTAGCTCTCATTTGCGCTCAGACACCGCGCGGCGCGAGAGCACTTTAAGTGTTTGTTTTGTTTGCAGTTAGTTGTGAGCCAAACAAGGTGTATCTGTTTTACATTTTATATTTCCATAATGATATATTACATGTTTATTTTTTAGGATAATAATGAGAGCATAATTTGAAGTTCAACTACTTTTGGACCATGGAGACGTTGGTTGTTGAGCGCATCACGGGTCATATATCTGTTCCATAGCTGTATCCACCAAACACGATAATCACATCAGACGACGAAAGATAAATGTCCTAAGCTCTCAGTCTCTGAGAGACACTAAGAAGGGGATAGCGCGTAGAGACTTGCTCCAGCCTCCAGAGCTTGTATACTAGCGCCACCACACTATGCCTGGGCCTCTGGGGTATATAATCAGGCACCAAGTCATAAAATTTCCTAAACCGGGTTTAATTGAAACGACGCGTCATGTCGCGCTTTGGCGCGTCTCTCAATACCCGCACGCATCACCGCCCCAGCAACCAATTGATTGAATCCCTCCCTTTGCTCCTCCTCGCAGCAGACGAAAAAGACCCTCACTCAGGAACATTTGTGGGTTTGGTTCACTTTGTCATTCTTTCAAATTACCATCTCCCACACTAATATACACACACAATGAGGTATGTACCAATTTATATCCTGCATGTCGCGCATCTTGTCCATACCAAATTTTTTCTCTCTCGTTTTCTCTCCCTGCTGTTCAGCTTGGAACAAGGCTAAGATCTCTACAGTTCACCACTTCGCCCCAGTAATACCGCCGCAAATCGCGGGCTAGGGAATTTGAACCGTCGCAAGAGAGACAGAGAGCCCGATGATGAAACATCTTCAATCGCTCCCCCCTCTAGTCGTAAGTCAAAGCATGTAAGAAAGAATCTGTTTTGTGTCCATACTGACTTTGTAGCTCCCCCCTCTTCCCCTCCCATGCTTCCTTATGCAGATGACGACCGCGATGAAGAAGCAGAGCTTCTGGAAGATATTGATGACCTTGACGAAATGGCAGAGGAAGGGGAGGGTATTGACCTGTTCGGTGACAGCTTCGAAAGAGACTACACTAGCAGAGAAGACGATCGTTATCAAGGAGCCGACATTGATGACGAAGAACAAGACGAGCTAGACATAGGCACCCGTCGCCAACTGGAAGCTCGCTTGAACAGGAGAGATCGGGAACTAGCACGGCGCAGTCGCATGCCTCGTGCTTTTCTGCAAGACGATGATGACCAAAACATAGATCTTACCCGCCAGCCTCGCCGGCGGAGACATCACTACGACGAGGACCAAGAAGATATCGACATGGGTGAAGGTGGCATGGAAGAGCTCTCATTGGAAGAGATGATGGATATCAAAGCCCCCAATGTCACAGACTGGGTGTTGCAGCCTCAAGTCCTGCGCTCTATCTACCGAGAGTTCAAGGCATTCTTGACCGAATTCACTGACGACTCGGGTGCTTCGGTGTACGGAAACAAGATCAAGACTCTTGGTGAGGTTAACTCGGCCTCTCTTGAAGTCTCCTACGACCACTTGTCCAGCACTAGGGCTGTATTGGCATACTTCGTGGCTAATGAGCCCACCGAGGTTCTGAAAGTTTTCGACCAGGTTGCTCTTGATGTCACATTGTTCCATTACCCCCAATACCACGACATCCATAATGAGATCCACGTTCGCATCATTGACCTTCCTACCGTTAGCACTCTACGTCAATTGCGCCAGTCTCATCTCAACTCCCTGGTGCGTGTCACCGGTGTCGTCACGCGCCGCAGTGGTGTGTTCCCGCAATTGAAGTATATCATGTTCGTTTGCGGCAAATGTAATATAACTCTGGGGCCGTTTCAGCAGGAAGCCAGTCAAGAAGTGAAGATTTCCTACTGCCAGAACTGCCAGTCCAAGGGACCCTTCACCGTCAACTCAGAGAAGACCGTCTACCGCAACTACCAAAAAATGACTCTTCAAGAATCGCCTGGCTCCGTTCCTGCCGGACGACTTCCACGCCAGCGCGAAGTCATTCTTCTTGCCGATCTCATTGATTCCGCTAAGCCTGGTGACGAAGTTGAAGTGACTGGCATCTATCGCAACAGCTACGATGCCCAGCTCAACAACAAGAACGGATTCCCTGTGTTCGCCACTATCATCGAAGCAAATCATGTTATCAAGTCTCACGACCAGCTGGCTGGTTTCCACTTGACTGAAGAAGATGAGCGTGAGATCCGCGCGCTCTCGCGAGACCCAGAAATCGTAGACAAGATCGTCCGCTCCATTGCTCCCAGTATCTACGGCCACCAAGATGTGAAGACAGCTATCGCTCTCTCTCTCTTTGGCGGTGTCAGCAAGCAAGCCCAGGGCAAGATGTCGATTCGTGGAGACATTAACGTCCTACTTCTCGGTGACCCCGGTACTGCCAAATCCCAATTCCTCAAATACGTCGAGAAGACCGCCCACCGTGCGGTCTTTGCAACAGGTCAAGGTGCCAGTGCCGTTGGTTTGACAGCCAGTGTGCGCCGAGACCCATTGACCAGCGAATGGACTCTGGAAGGTGGTGCCCTCGTGCTTGCAGACCGCGGTACATGCCTGATTGATGAGTTCGACAAGATGAATGACCAGGACCGTACCTCCATCCACGAAGCCATGGAACAACAAACCATCTCCATCTCCAAAGCCGGTATCGTCACCACACTTCAAGCGCGGTGCGCCGTTGTTGCAGCAGCCAACCCTATCGGGGGCCGCTATAACAGCACTGCACCTTTTAACGCCAACGTCGAGCTCACCGAACCCATTCTCTCTCGTTTCGACATCCTCTGCGTTGTCCGCGATCTTGTGGATCCTGATGAAGACGAACGCCTCGCCAATTTTGTCGTTGAATCCCACCATCGCGCCAACCCAGCCCGTCCCCTGAGGGACGAAGAAGGCAACCTAATCGATAGCGACGGCCACCGCATCGACGAAGAAGGCTACCGTCTTGACAGGGAAGGTAACCGCATCCCATTCACTCCAGAAGAAATCGCCGCCCGCGAAGCCGCAAACCGCAAAATCGAAGAAGAGAAAGAAGGCGAAATCCCCCAGGAACTCCTTCGTAAATACATTCTCTACGCCCGTGAACGCTGCCACCCGAAACTCTACCAAATCGATCAAGACAAGATCGCCCGTCTTTTCGCAGACATGCGTCGTGAATCCCTCGCAACAGGCGCATACCCCATTACCGTAAGCTCCCACAAACATCCAAACAACCCCAGCAATCAAAGAAAAAACTAATAAACACATCCATAGGTCCGTCACTTGGAAGCCATCATGCGTATCGCAGAATCTTTCTGCAAGATGCGTCTATCAGAATACTGTTCCAGTCAAGACATTGACCGCGCAATAGCAGTGACAGTCGACTCCTTCATCGGCAGTCAGAAGGTTTCCTGCAAGAAGGCTCTCTCGCGCGCTTTTGCCAAGTATGTTATTTTCCCCTCAAAACTTTTTTCCACCCTTTGCAAGTAATACGGTATTGACAATTGTAAAACAGGTACACATTATCTAGACCTAAGCCTCAGTCGAGACGGAAAGCGGGTATTGCTGCGCCGAATCCGTATATTCCTAAGCCGACTGCGCCTCGGGCTTACTAGATCTCATGTGATTTACGGATTGTGCGGGGTTTACGCTAATTAATGGGGGTTTATTTGGGTTGCTATGATATCATTTTCTGTTCTTTCCTTTTTATTTTCAAATAGAAATATGAAAGAGGTACACTAATATGTGTGGATGATGGATTGATTTGATCTGATTTGGATAAATCTTTTCTTACGGGTTTGATGGAGAGATATTTTCATTCGGGTTGTGGAGTTCTAGGTCTTCACAGTATTTATTGTGTTCTGGTGCATTTGCGAAGTTGATTGAATGTTGTCAATACCGAGTTCAACTATCAGTCAAATAAGACATACAGCATGTGATTTGAGAGAAATGACTAAAGAGAAAAGAAACCACATAGAAACGACAGAAAACCAGGCCCAAGGCATCCGTTCCCAGCCCCAGACTAACCATCAACCAACGCCGTCCATTTTCATCCGCGCTGCCAAGTGAATAAATAAGAAAAAACCATGTACCACCCACCATATACAGCCCCAGGCTATCCTATATTCGCCTGTCCCTGCCACCCCTCCTGCGGGAATGGACTTACTTTCCCACCAGATTCATAGGGCATCATTGTAGTAGTCATGATATCCCATTGTCAATCGATGAAAGGTTTCCTGAGGTACTAGACCAAGCCACATTGCTATCTGCCTTTGGAAACTCTCCTGGTGGGCCGTGAAATGATGCGATCCAGTGCTCTTCCATCTGTATCTTCCCTAATGACCAGTTATACGGTCCCAATGCAAGGAGTACAGAATAAAGATGATAACAGGACATCTCAAGACCTTCAGTCGTCACTAATTCGTCTCTCGGGGCGGGGCTTGCGCAAGCTCTTCATCCGGTTGATAAAGCCGCCGCCACTGCTCCCGTTGGCATTACGACCCTCGTCGTATCCATATGATCGGTCCTCTGTGTGTCTCCGTTCTAGGCCGGAACTTTGCTTAGGACTGCTAGACGAACGAGCTCGTCCCAGTCCTTGTGATTCCTCGGCGATTCGAGCACCTTTCTTCTCCCACGCGTCATCATAATCCTGGAAGAATGGGTTCTTCTCGTTGGCTTTGATCGTTCCGATATGGCCGGAGCCCGCGGGTGCCATATATGATGCTTCAGGTGATACCACACGGCCGTTGGACGGGCGGTTGCCCACCCCACGGAGTCGCTGCGCCAAACTCTTTTTCCGTTGCAGACCCCCCGTCCCTTGTTTGATCTGTTGGTCATTCTCGCTCTCACGGCGTTGGATGGCGGCCCTACTGGCAGGAGCCCCATCCAAGAAGGTGCTGGTTCCTAAACCCATACTCTGTTCGCCATGCACCGGCTCGATCCGCGACGTGGGATCGAAGTTAACGCCTTCTGTTTTACGAGTCTCGACTGCGCCATAATCGTTATAGCCTTGCTCCGATCTTCCATGGAACAGGTCCAGATTAATGTTTTGGTTGACGGGACCAGCGCCTCCCAAGGCCATGTTGGCAGAATCTGCAGGGAAGGCTTGCATGGGGGCTGTGCGTACGCCCTTGCGGTTACGGTTCGGGTTGCACGCATCAAACGGTCCATCGTGATGGAACACTACCCACGAATTAGTCGGACGCTTCAGAAATAAAATACGGTGTCAAATGGTGCCACTCACTTCCTGTGCCGTAGATACTAGTCACGTCGAGCTTGTCAATAATGTCGAGTTGGTAGTTGGCCTTTTTCGAGGAGCGAGGCTTGCCGTCCCTATGACGAGCTTCCCGTTCCCGCCGCCTCCTTTCCCGTCGGCGCCGCTCGTCTTCTGGGTCGAGCAGCTTGGGACGCTCCATGATGGACGACTCGGAATTCCGACGAGGGCGGCGGTCACGGTCACGGTCACGGTCCCGGGGCCTCGGCAGGCCTGCACTCGGCGGGTCAGCGAAGATGTCTAGCGGATCTTTCTCCCGGCGTTCCGGACGTTCCCTTGACGTAGTTGGGCGGTGACTGCTCGAAGTACCACCATTCTGGAAAAGCCGATCGGGGCGAGACGGAGCGGGTCGGTAGCCCGTTGGCTGAGGGGCTGGATTGGAGTTGAGCGAGAGGTTTTCCTATGTCAGACAGATAAACAATTAGATCAGTTTGGATGGTGTAACATCTGTCAATAGGAGACATACAAAGAGGTCGCGCGTATTGTTCGTCATATCGGGCCGATCGATGGGGGACACCATGCTTCCAGTGCCAGTGGGCGCCGACTGTGGCGACAGGGGTCCGTAATCGTCGAGAAAAGGATTCGTCGAGGTTGGTCGTTCTGGGCGATTACCTGAGGCAATCGAGTTCGAGGGTGAGAGAGCACGGTTTCTAAAGGGGTTGTTGGAGCCCAGATTCACCCCTGGGACTTGTGGCGACGGCTGACGAACTGGGGAGACTGTACAAGAAATAGAAAATCCATGTCAGTTTATCTCAAGCTCTCGCAGGCCAGACACGGTCTAAAATGACGACGGAATGAAGCAACACTGATAAGGGGAGCCGGGCCCCGCAGCGATGTGAAACGTTCTGCGATTGAGCCCAGCCAGACAAAGGAAGATGACGAACCTTGCGGGCCCAGCGCCATGGCGGGTGGATAAGCATATGAGAGCGTGGGAGGTTGCTGAGAGGCATTCATGTTTGCGGAACACGCAATGCGTCCACGAGGATGGGCGAGTGAAAAGCGACGATTGGGGATGACAGGGGAAGCATAAAACACGATCACGGGAAATAAAGGAGAGCTCTAATAATGCGATAATCGATCGCAAGCGCCGAGCTAGCAAACAAGAAAATAAAATTAAAAAAAAACCCCCCCAGCTGGTGGTTTGTGAAACAGCGATGCCTCGGAAGTCGGTCAGGGGGCCGGTGACGATTGGAGGGGGATTTTTATTGCAGGAGATTTCGGAGATGCAGTTATGGAGACAAGATTAGACCGTTGGGACTAGTATTTTAGCTTGCGTGGATGGTGAAATCCCCTTGTCTCTTTCATTTGACCTTTCGTTCTTTTTTTTCCGATCCAAGGAGGGGTGTGTGGGCGGAAAGAAAGAAGAAAGAGTAAGGAAAGGAAAGGAAACGTGCGAAGAGGAAGAAAGAGAGAGACGGGAAATGACTAGTACCTAGTAGTAGAAAGGAAGGAGTGGAAAGAGAGTTGTGTAGAGTAAAGTAAAAGTGATGGTTGATTGACGGGAAACGAAGCGGCGGCGCGCCCCTTAGGACCTGTCCAGTGGAAGGGATCGTCGGAGGGAATTAATAAAAAAAGGGGGGTGGGAGGAAAGAACGAGGTGGATTTCATGGAGATGCATTTCTCCATTGGACAGAGGAACACTGCACAGAGAAAAGTGAGAAAGTGACAATCCTTCGATCTCTCAGTAGCTGTAGGTCTTTTGATTTTGCTTTCTACTTTAATTTAGTTCAGATGGTGAAGAGACAAAGAGATCAGTAATGCACCATCTAGATATCAAAACATTTGACCTATAAATCGATACCAACAAACAATCGAATGTGAACACCACCACCGGTAATAAAATACAGATCGACATCATCCACTCCAATGGCCAGGTTGGGGTTACTACCTTCAGCACGTGGGTATAGATTTTAATTATCCTACGATTAGATTGCTCGGCAAATTGAGCTCTCTCTCTCTCTGTTTCTCTCAATGCACTCGAATATTCGGTCATCAGAACAAGGTCCATCGAGTCAATCCCGCGGGGATGCATGGATAGCTTGAGTAACAATTATCCTGGAGTAAGTACACAATACAAGTACTAGAGGAAGCTACTACTCGTACTAGTACTGTCGCCGAGACGGACCGTCCTCTTCCTCCCGAGGTTCACTAACCTAACCCTTGTAATTTATCATCGGTGGACAGGCATCTCGCTTCCTGATTGACGGACTGCTCCCCATCAGCACTTAGTCAATGTATTGGTTCCGTTCGGTCTCTCTGAATCTTTACCCGCCATGCTTTACTCCGTATATTAGTCCCGGGCTTGGACTCTAGAGCGGACATGACTTGCTACCCCAGAAATCAATCATCAACCAGATCACTAATCTATCTTAGGCATTACTAGGCACACCAGAAACAGGTACAGGTGCAGGTACTGTACATGAGGGTTCTGCATTTCTGGGGGAAAGAAAAAGCAACGGGAAATCTCCTATTGATCATTTTACTTCCTTGATGTAAGATACAGAGCAAACCAACCAATCCGTACTTCGTATTGAGGTGGTGATAATCACGGGACTCACGTTGAAGCTCATTCTATTTTGAGAAAAATACGCCACCACCACCACCACCAACTTTGACCCTTCCACACACGCATTACTCAAAATAACTTTCCACAAAGAATGTGGACAAAAGAGGCAAGTAAAAAAAAATTCAATTGCATTCAATGCTATCGGGTTTTTTCGATTCTATATCATTCCGATCAGGTACTTCGCATCAGTGACCCCTCATAACAACACAAACAGCTTCACTCTGCAACGGATCAGCGGCCAATTTAGCTTTTCGTCCCTCAATGATCGACGCTGTTAGTCAGTGTCCTACGTTATCCTTTTTCTTGGCAATTATCCACTAGGACCCTTACATTGCAACGCCCTGGCACTGGCTGGCAGACAAACAAGATATCGCTGGTATGCTGCTCGTTGGCTGCTTGATGACGGAATCTTGCGCCTTGGCTTTCTTTTTCTCTCCGTTGGTTTTCTGAACCAAAGTACAGTAGAACGGCCTAGCCTCCGACTGCATTCTGCAGGGAGTACGGAGTCCAGCGTCGCGTCGAAAAGGATGACGTCGGGGAAAAACCCAGGATATACGTCAACATTCCACGTAGGGGCTTAAAGAAATTCAGGGTTTATCTCATTCATCTGGGATCTCTCATTAGAGTTTTTACTGTACATGATCCACAGTCCTACAGTCAACAATCAATTAACACCACCCCCCCGCGAAAACAGCAAAGAAAAATAAGCGACAACCAGAGCCTAATTCTTTCCATGGTCAGCCAACCCGAGACATTCGGCCATGTTGAAGAAGATGTCCACCGAGCTGTACACGCCACCAAACAGCTCCTGGCAAGGGCCCTGCGCAAACACCGGTACATCCGTCAACGAGTGCACGCCCTGGTCCGCATCGACGGGGAGAGTGCCGTTGATTAGGAACCCAGTCACTGCATCCTTGTAGTTGGCAAAGTAGCCGTCGGATCCACTGCGCTTCACCGCGGGCTTCCGGGGTCCCTCGTTGTGCACTTCATAATTCTCTTGGTGGTCGGGGAACGCCACCACGCCGGCATGCAGAGTGTAGCGCGGGTCCCAGCGGGCCGGGAAATGGACCCCTTCCGAGTACCGCAAGGCGTTAGGGCCGCGCACGGTGTACTGCGAGAGTCCCGAATTCTGATAGGTTCCGATAGCCCGTCGCTTGTCGCGATCATCTTCCTGTGCGTTCAAGTATTCGGTGTCAACCGAGCCGGTGACGTCGAATCCGTGGCCGTGGTCAGCGGTAACAATGATAAGAGTATCCTCCAGCTGTCCAAGGGCTTTGAGCTTCTCGATCGTGGCGCGCACGGTATCATCCAGCTCTAGCAGTTCGCCCAGAGACCGGTCGTAATCCAAGGAGTGCATCTGCTTGTCGATACTGGCAGCCTCCGACATGAGGAACCAGCCATCATCCTCATGCCGGGCGTTCAATACGTCGATCGCCTTGAGGGTCATCTCCTTCAGTCCAGGAAGATCATCTGCGTCGCGCTTTGAGCCATCTGGATAGTTGCTCTGGTTGCGAAGGTTCTCCTGGTAGACGTTGCGATCGAGCCAAGTAGCCAGGTTGGATGTGGAGAAAACACCTAGGGCCTTGGTGTCATTCGGAGCAGCCTGCAGAGCGGTCTTGTTCCAGCTTATACTATACTCCTTCTCGGAGAACAATTCGTAGTAATCCCGAGGCGCGTCTTCGCTGGTAACGAAGTTCTCCGCACCGGCGCCGAGGAGGACGTCCGGCCCGTCCCAGTTCGTCCACTCATACTTGGTCAACCCTTCAAAGTAGGCACTAATAACGTGGTCATACTCGCCACGGTCCCGAGTGTGAGCAGCCAAGGCAGCAGGGGTGGCGTCAGCCAGGAAAGCGGTCGAGACGATTCCAATGCCGGCATCGGGGTACCGGCGGCGGAAGATCTCGGAGATGGTCTCGAATTTCGGGTCATCGAAAGGATCCTTCGACGAGTCCACATAGACATTCAGAGCATTCACTGTGGTCTTTTGGCCCGTGTAGAGTGCTGTGGCTGAGTTGGCCGAGTCCGTGATGAAGGAGTCCATCGAGTGGGTCATCTGGTGGCCCAAGACCGGAAACTTGTCCAATTGCAACTTGGTTAAGTACTTGCCATTAATGCTGCGGTGCGCGATCAAACGAGCCGCCGTGATCATGTTAGTTGTCATGCCGTCTCCGATGAAGAGAACGACATTCTTGGCCCGTCGCTTTTCTGGGAGGTCGCGCACCAGCCAGTTGGCAACCGTCTTTTCCTGGCCGTAATAGGTTAATGTCGCCTCGTACTCTCCAGGCTCGTGGAGAGCGACCCTTCTGTATGCCTTGGCAGTAACATTGACGAGAGAAGGTTTGTCCGCATCCTTCGCGAAGAGGTCTACACCACTTAGCCGATGCCACATTGTTATCCATCGGGGCGGTTCCAAACCTACCTTCGTACCAGGTAAAGTTCCATCTCTCGAGTTCCGGCTCCTCAATCTCAAAATATTCTGCCGCAGCAACGCCCTCTTCACCTTTCCTCGCGATAGTGAACTTGAAGTCCGGATCAGGCTGGCCCTGGCGAGCTTCAGAGCCGTTGACCGGCGAGTGGACTTCAAGGCGGATGTCGAAGTACTGTCCGGGAAGGAAATCCGCCCTAGTAGTAGTGCAACAATTAGCTCCAGTTTCTGTACCGCCACCAGCTGCACCAACTTGAAGTCACAGCAATCAAAGGATAAAAGACATACTGGTCAGGTGGGAAAACACAGCCCAAGGTTGGGCAGCCACCCAAGCGCTGGTAAGTTTGGGCAACAGCACAGGAGGCGAAGAACGCCGCACCTGCAATTGAGAAGAGCCTCATCCTGATGCAGATGATGTGACCTCAAGGCAAAAGTGGAAAACGAGGGCCTGCAGCTGAAGGACAAGGGAAGATCAATTCCCAGGCGGGAGAAACGTGCCTTTTTAAAACATGGAATGCCAAGGGAATGCGACGGCCAGATACCACCCTCGCATGGCTATCTCATCTCCTGTGTACGGGTGATGCATCTCTGACTGGGTGGAATGATGCGGGCTAAGTCTACGTGGGAGATAATCTCATTCGAAAGCTGCTAATCCTTGTACCTTGTGCTTGGCGAATTGTATCGGGAATCGTTAGCTAGGGTCCTATAGACAAATCGGAATCCACCATCTTCTACACGTGCAGAAGCTGGGCGTTCAATGGGAAGCTTGGATGACGGCCCTTGTCCTCCGCCAAGCCAAGAGTGGCTTGGCAAGGAGTACCATGCCAAGGTTCTGGCTGGGCACGTGGGCTGTTCCTGGGGGAAATAATGGAATGGTTTCCTTTGATTATGTTCGGATGAGAGGGGCTTGAAATGGTATCATTCATCGTCCACGTTTCCGTGGACCATGGATGGAGGAGCGTGATGGACGAGTGGATTGGGTTACTAACCATCTAAGATCGGGACTCCATCGAAGCGAGAAACCTTTGCACGAGATACGAGCTTCACTCTCTAAATAGTTTTAGTAAAGAAATAGTATCGGTTGCTCTAGGGCTGTGACAAGAATTAGAAGACATAGCCAAGGCTTGATTAGGGCACCGGAGTGGGATTTACATATATAGCATGTTCCTCGACGAGGGCAGGCTTGGCTCTGGTGCTCATACATCATACAATGCCTGGTCTAGGGATAGTAGACGGTGGCTGTCTCTGTATAAAGGGTCAAGGCTCAAATCACAGACATCAACTTAGCATGATATTCTCGGTTCTCGTTCGTTGACTCGTCGCATGAATTGCTTAATATATATTCGTAGACACCTCTCACCCTCACGTGCCCACATATAGAGGCATATATTCCTTTTTTTTTTTTTTTTTTTGCAGCTAAACTTAGGCAGGAATTAGTATGTAGTGCACATTGATTTAATCTCACACATTTTTTTTTTTTCGCACGTAGTGGAGGCGATGAGAATAAACAATTTGGAGGGCATATATATCTCCAAGAAGAGATCAAAGTGAGCTCCCCCGCTATCGGAATTTGTACGGGCACTAGGCTGTAGTTGCACTATGAATTTCTGCGGGGACTATTGATACTCAACTTCTAAGAATTGTAATTGTATTATAATAGTATAATTATTACTCTGCTACCTGAGCGTAAGTCTCACACAAGCCTGAATAATGGGGAGTGGGTCAGTGTTGAATAGATGGAACGAAGTCAAGGTGAAACAATATTTAACTGTCGCACCACGGCCTTTTCCCTTCACAGCTTAGCCTACTAGAAATGTCATCACTTTTGATCTCCAACTCGCCAACAGCAACAACCCATTCGACCTTACCGACCATACCTTTCTCGTTATCCTCCACTATTTTTCACGATAAATAAATCTATCGCTCACAGCCGTTGTAACTGCCTTTATAATTACCTCCGCTCAGGGGTTTGATAAACTCATTGGGCCCTACGCCATGGATCAGCCACAACCACGTACTGGTCAACCTGAACAACCCCCACCGCCGACTCTCACAAATCCACGTTTTACTCTCGAGCTCGAGTTTGTCTCCTCGCTGGCCAACCCATACTATCTCTCGCACCTCGCAGTCACATACCCCCATCTGTTGGGAGTCTCCAACGCTGGCGATGAAGGCGACGCGACTAAGGACACTGCGGATCCTGACGCGCAGGCCTTCGCTGCGTATCTTGCATACCTCTACTCCTACTGGAAAACCCCTGAATACGCCCAATTCCTAACTCATCCTGGCGCTACCCTCCGCGCACTTCGACTTCTCCAAGAAGACACATTCCGTCGCGACATCATTCGCCCCCAAGTTATCGAAGGGCTAGCGGGGACCGGTATCAACAACGAAGAAGGCGGCGCAACCACCGAACAGGAGGGGGAACAAGAAAAGGAAGAACAAGGGAAACAGGAAGAAGCGGGGGATAATAATAATTCAAAGACCTGAACTCGGGTTTAGGGCACCACTGTGAAGAAGAGCCGCGGGCATCTTCTCTTGATCGCTAGATTCTCTACGATAGGTCTACTCGGCTACAACCTAAAAAGGAAATCGTTGCGGGCGGCGGAGAAGTTTCTCAGGGATCTACATCGGAGTGTAAAAGAATTGGGTTTTCTCAGACCCTTTTCGCTTCTTCCCCGCGAAGTTGCTTCGATCGAGGTCCGGACGCACTGATGCCGCTTGGTTCGCGATGGCGCGGACCGTCATGTGTGACCGAGGTACGCCCGCTTTTCCTTGAATAGTTCGTCAATGTCGGCTATTTGTGCCCTGCGAGGTGGCACAGCGTTCTTTTTTGGGCTCTCGCCATACCTATGCTGCGTAGTTTCGGAATGTAGCTTGATTCTCGGTCGGTATCTTCCCTAAATGCGGGGAGCACCTTCGAAGGGTGATCGTTATGCATGTACGTATCTATCTACCATGGCAATGCATGCATAAAGGGAGCGCGCCTTGTGATCGACGACGGTAACATGGATTTGGGAGTGGATTCTGTTTGAAATTTAAGATGTTCTCAGAATTTCAGTATTGAAGGTTGTTGTGTACACTTGTCTATTTCTAGGCAAATACGAGCCTAGTTAGCTTATGACGTTGGCAATTACTTCATTTTCTGTTCCTTTCCGTTTTAAAGAGGCAGAAAAGTATTGCGATTGGATATGAGAATGGTCAGAAAATAAAGAAAGAAAAAGAAAATTTAATAGACGCCAGAAATACAACCCACCAGTAGGCCTGGTGATAACAGACTCCTTAAATCGACAACGATCGCCAAGTCTCACGGGGCCAGAGAGAGACAGACTGATTTTCCCGACAGGTTGCTTTTCTTAACTCCGTCACTAGGAACGAACAACTCCCATCCTTCTTTCTTTTCGTCCTTTCTTTCTTCCCTTTCCACACGCACACACCATTCTGCGTAATCCATTTGCTGCGCATTCCTTGAGCACAATCGAACTGCCGGAACACCGTAGTGTCACTCCTTACTTACCATTCGTTCCTGGTACAGACGACCCGCCCCGACATAGCTGGCGACTACTACCTAATATATCCGATGGACAGACCCCACCCCTTGGTGACTTGACTATCTTGCCCTGGACTTCATTTTCTACCGTCATTGTGGCCGTGACGCGTGCACTAAACTATTCAATTACCTCGACTCCATGTCCGATTCCCGACTCTTTTTTCTGACCCACTAAATTCTGCACCTCCCAGCCACTACCCCTGGCACTTTCCGGGATCGCGCCTGACGTCCTTTACCGTTGAAACCCCAAACACGGACATTGAATAGCCTCCCCCGGGCACCCTAGCCGATGGAGGGTGTACGTCAGAAATGCAGACCGAAACACCAGGTTCTGGTCCTGAAATGCTATCCACAGTACCAGAAAGGTGTGCAGGTGGTCAAGCCGAACTCGAGTGAACTCTCGTATTTGCTCTACTATGTGAGCACCCGCCGCAGCAAGCTGACAAAGGTCGGCGCCTTTCTGGAGAAAAGAGCAGCTCGGGATGTGTGGCGCCGCAAGATAGGGTGAGTTTACAATGGGGAGGGCAAGCGAGCGGTCATGGATGAAATTGGCACATAATCTGCGGGAAATTGCGGTGAAAGACCGGCTGACATTGTCGTTGCGTTGTGTAGAAATGTGCAGGTTACGCTTCAGATCTTGAGCGCGCTCATCGAGAAAGTTCCCCGCGACTTGCCGATCTACGCACGGTCGGTCATGACAGTCCTCGAAACGGTCGTACGCTCGCAGGATATCTCCATGGTCGAGGATTCCATTGAGACCTTCGAGATTTTCTGCCGACATCAAGATATGGCGGCACTATCTGCCGAACAGGATTTTGCTACACAGTACCGGGAAGTGGTGCGGTCGTATGCGGATTTTGCGGAGGGCGACCCTTCTGCGCAATCGAGGCCCGCCGCGGGTCCTCCGCTTACGGTTCGATGGAAGACGGCGGGATTAAGGGCGATCAAGGGCGTGGTTAGTTCCGAAGCGGGGTTGGCTGCGGATGGCGGAGATTCGATACGGGTCATTCTCCCGGTCATTCTGGAAAATCTCTACAGCCCGGAAGATAATCTGGTTGGCTCTCTCGAACTGAAACTCCTTGAAGCGGACAAGAATGAATCAGAGACTGCGCACCGACGCCGGGTTAGCACGGCCACCGTAGAAACGGTCGACGCGGTGGAGGGAGATGCGTCATTGGCGGCTCAAAATACCGCTGACATGGATCGAAAAGCGGAGATGGATATGAGATTGCTCGCTTTGCGGTGTCTGGAACAGATTGTCGTCAACGGGAGCAGCCGCGGCCAGATTCGTGTTACGACTCAGGTCGTGCTGGATTTCATCTTGCGCAAAAGCCGGGTAACTGGTAATGGCCTAGGTCAGAATCACAAGGACAGTTGGGCCACATCGTTGATTGAACTGATCGCCAAATGGTGTCCTGTTCAGGTTCGCTTCATTATTTTGGTAGCCGCTATGGATATTCTGCACGACATCCCTCCAACAGAAGAGTCTCTGGACGAATCGTTCGCCATCACCTATCTGATTGATCGGCTGTTAAAATCCCCTGTGAATATGATTGGACTTAGCGTTATCGATGTCTTACTGGGTCTATTACGTCATATGTCATTTTTGGTATCACCCCCAAGGGCTGGAAAGTCGACACCAGACGAGAAGCAAAACGGACATGCAACAGTTCTAGAGCTTTCAGTGAAAAGAACAGAGGTGCTCTCACTCCTGCAGGAGTGTATTGGCAATCTCACAACGCACATCTACTATGGCGAGCAGGTTGTTGACATGGTCAGGACGATCTTGACTCGCTTCAGACCTTCAAGGGGCAACGAGCAGACAATAACATCGTCCCCAACCCAGTCCGATGCACTGGGAGGCGCCAGTGCTATGGTCTCTTCTGGGGATGGTGGCCCAATAGCATTTTCTCTGCCCAGCGCAAAGATCACAGCTCTCAGAGCCATCAAGAATATCCTCCTTGTTGCTAATACGAAGCGGCCAGGGTTCACAGTAACCGCGGAATCCAGACATCA